GAAGGGAGGGCAGGGGAAGGGGGAAAATAAGAACTAAGAAAGATTATATAAAGGTGCAAATTTCCAATGATGAATGTCATTATATTGTATACCTAAAATGTACCAATAAAATAAAATTTTTTAAAGAAAGGAAATTAGTGAAATTGAGACTAAAACACAATACGAAGGATAAGCGAGTCAATGGTTCTTTAAAAGGATGGGAAAGGGATCTGAGGATGAGGGAGATGGAAGTGGAGGTAGGGAAATAAAAGGACCAAGATGTGATATGTATCTGTACCGATTCCCCCATGCTGAATGTATTTCCTATGCATTGCAAGCATACTAGAGTTTAAAAACCAAAGTACTGTGTACCATTTGTAAACACGTGCATATTAGTAAAAACAAAAACAAAAACATATGGGTGAAACTTAAGAAAAGGGAGGAAGGAAATGGGATACATGGGGTCTACAATTGTGTTTTTGATGATTTGTCTTTCAAACAAAAACATCAAGAGGGCAAATAACAAAATGTTAACTTATTTATAGTTGGGGTGGTGGCTATGGAAATTATCAATCCTTTCATTCTTTAGACCTTGAATGTTTGAATGTTTTCTATTATAAAAATTAAACATTTAAAAATAAATATGTCTGAAAAACATAAAACTACAGGCATTGGAAACAGGTGATTGCCACAGGTTGGAGATGAAGATGGGGTTTTAATATAAAGGGGCCATAGGAGTTCTCAGGGGCACCAGGACTGTTCCATGTCTGCTTGTGGTGGTAGTTACACAACTATACGTATTTCTCAAAACTCACAGATGTGCTCACTTTTTAAAAGGTGAATTTTATTATATGTAAGTTATACACTCATTTTTTAAATTTTTTTTATTTTTTGCTACCAGGGATTGAACTCAGGTCCTTACACTTGTGCAGCAGGCAGCAAAACCACTGAGCTAAATTCCCAGCCCTATACATTCATTTTTTAAAAGAAAATGAAAAAATACAAAAAATGGTAGGAACAAAAGGTACAGAGTTAGACATCAATTATTTTATGAGGTCATTACTTAATGAAAAAAGAAATGCTACATAAAATTGGAATATTATTTGGGATTAATTTATTCTTAATCATAATCAATACATTTTTAGTTCAATCAATATTTGAAATAATAAGAATAAATGCCTCTATCTGTACTGCAGAATCTGCTGAAATGCCCAGCACTTTGTCTTTTCCTTCATCCAAAGCAAGATGCAAACTCAGACTATCCTCTCCTGTCCTGACTATCTAAATAAATTTAAAACAAGATCTCTGACATTCCTATGAATATTACTGAAGTCCTTGTAACCACCTGGCTTTCTTGGAAACATTTGCTTATTGACCAAGTGACTGAATAAAAGAAGCAAGAAGCACTTTGGGCAGCCCACTTCTGCTTTACTGTGTGCAGTGTCCTCTCTCTTTGACAGTGTGATGGTTTACAATTTTTCCTCTTCTACATGATTGCCTCTATGAATTTCCTTTAGTTTCACCCTTCTGGATGTCAAAGGCTCTTCTCTGGTTTGTGGGAGCCCTTGGTTGTTCTTCTCATGATGAAGAATGAAGGACTGAAAAGCCGACTGGAAGCTACAAGTTAGAGTGACTGACCGTTCCTGTCTGTCCGGCACTGAGGGCTGTCCCAAGGTAAGGAAGTTTCAGCTCTCAAACCGAGAAAGTCTCAGGAAAAAGTGGACTAAGTGGGATACTCTTCTCCATGTCCACTGTCTGAGTTTGTCAATGTTGAGCTTCACTGGGACATTTTGGAACAGCATCTTCATTCCATATTTCTAGAGTCTTCATCTTGGGCCAGTCAGAATCCCCAAAGAAACAATTTCCACCTCCTACCTGAAGAGCCAAGGCCTACTCTGCCAAAGTTCTGGCAGCCTCCATCATTCTTCAATTTTAATGTAGAATCCACATCACCTAATGTTCCCAGCATCCCTCAGTCCAGAGATCTCTCACCTTGGTGCACCAGCTCTCTCATGTCAGTTCACCAGCCTTGGCCACTCCCATGTTTACAAGATGCCACCACAGTTCCAGATATCATGATCTGACAAAACTGAAGGAGACAAGAACAAAGTCTTTCCCCAAATGCCTTTAGCTTCTCTTCAGGCGAAACAGTCTTTCCCAGAAGTCTCCTGTGTACTTCTCTTTGCCTTTGATGGGTCAAAGCCGGTCACATACCCACACCAGGACCAATGACTGGCAAAGACAAAGAGGAGGAGGATGATAGACTTATACCAAAAATGATTCTTTCCCTTGGTCTGGACACATTAACACTGGAACAACATCAGAGTTTGCTTAGGAAGAGAGGAGGACCGTAAATGCGGGTCACTTACGGTGGCCTACTCAGCATATACAAGAAAAGCATTCACTTAACTCCTACCTGGAGTCTAGGGACTAGTTTCAAAGGCTTCTCACCTCTTCAAGTACCCTATAGTATGTCACCCTTGATAGTTGGCCCTTTTAGGGGAATGATTCTTATAAACTGGGAATATCTGAAACCTGGTTGGGAGGGGCCTATCAGGATGAGAAGCTTCCTGGAAAAGACATTTCAAGGAAGTAAAGGTTTCCATTACTGTGTCAAATAATGTTTATTAGGGCCAGGGATTTAGCTCAGTGGTTCCACCACCTGCCTCACAAGTGTAAGGACCTGAGTTCAATCCCTGGTACCAAATAATAATAATAATAATAATAATAATAATAATAATAATAATAATAATGTTTATTTAATACCTGCTACAGTACTTTGTTAGTCATAGTGGTAAGGGTTACAAACATGATGGTAAGCAGGACAAATGCAAAGAGAAACCCACTGTCACTCGGGCATCTTGGCACCTATACACTCTACATCCAAGGGAGATTAACCTATGTTAGAATGAGTGGAAATTCCAAGAACAGTATCAGTAACAATCTGTTTTCTTCTTTTTATTCTTGTAAGTTTTGCAAGGCTATGTTAATCACTGGAAAGCTATTTCCACGGGTTCCCGGGCTCTTGCCTCATAAGTAGAAGCATTTGGCAACCTGGCTGCAAAACTGCGTTGGCAGGTGAGTCATTTCCCATTAGAGTCCACCCACATTGGTGTGTTACCTAGTCAATGCCCCTGACCCTCAGTAGCTCCTCTGAGGCCTAATGAAGAGGATTGCGGTGCCCACAGAGCCACCAGGGGGCGCCCGAGGACCTCGAAGAACTTCAAGGTTACCCAAAAGCCAACCCGCCAGCTCTCCACCCCACTCCCAGTTGGCATGGTTTCCTTTCTATTTTTTTATTTTACTCTTTTTTTACTCCCCTGCTTTGTAACATGTGAAGCTTGACACCTCCCTTGCTCAGGTCAGATTCTGTCAGCAGAGACCAGGACTCAGGGAGATGTGGCAGATTCACTGTCAGTTGCTTCTCAGAGGATTTCAAGTTTCCTGCCCTTCCCACCCCTCAGTGATCTTCCTGCTCAGTGCAGAGCACACACAGGGATAGCACATTTTGTGCCAAGAAGCACCTTATAGTCCTGAGACCTTGCTCTGTACTTCGGTTATAAAGCAAATAAGGAGGAGCTGTGTGCTAGAAGCAGAACTAGACATCCACAAGTGTGGGCAGTTGATGTGAAGTTATACACCTAGGGAAACACTCAAGCCTGAAACCCTGGGCACCAAGATGTTCCCTGTGGCCTTGCGAGTGTCCCCTGTCTCTAGACCCCATTGTCAGAAACTGAGGTTGGGGCAGAAGCAGTTCACTGAGGCCTCTTGCTTCCTGGTTAGTTTGCGGGGGACTTATACCTGCAGTTCTGCTCTCTGCAGTTTCAGTTACTTCCAGTCAACCACTGTCTGAAAGTATTAACAAGAAAATGCCAGAAATAAACAACTCATAGTTTTAAATCACACACTCTTCTGAGTGGCGTCATGAAGTCTCTCACACCCTCACCTTCTCACTTGGGCTTTCGGACCATCCTTTATGCTGGGATGTGGCTCAGTGGTAGAGCACTTGCCTGGTACGTGCAAGGTCCTGGGTTCTATTTCCAGGGTTGATGAGGGGAAAAAAATCATGAACCATCCATTGGTTCAGGTGTATACACTGCCCACCTGCCCATTTGTCACTCTGTAGCCTCAGTTATCAAACCAAACACGGCAGTGTAAGAGTGCTTGTGTTCAACTAATCCTGGTTTTGCTTACTAATGGCCCCAAGAACAAGAGTAGAGATGCTTGGATTTGGATACTAAAGATCGGCTACAAAGTGCTTCCTTTGTATGAAAAAGGGAAAGTCCCTTTTTCATATTTTGAGAGACAAATCCACATTCACTTAACCTTCATTATAGCATATTGTTATAATTATTCTATTATTAGTTATTGCTTATTTCTTACTGTACATAATTTATAAATTAATTTTTATCATAGGTGTGTATATATAGGAAAAAGCAGAATATATAGAGTTTGGGACTTTCCCTGGTTTTAGACAACCCCTGGGCATCTTGGACCATAACCTCTGTGGGTAAAGGGGAATACTGTAGTTTCCTGAGGCTGCTGTAGCAAAGTACTAAAGCTGGGTGGCTTCAATGGAAATATGTAGTTCTCTCATAGTTTTGGAGGGCAAAAGTCTGAAATTGAGGTGTTCCCAGCACCATGCTCTCTCTGGGGGCCCTAGAGAAGAACCCCTTCCTGATTCTTCCAGCTGCTGGTGTTTGCCAGCCATCTTTGGCATTTCTTGGCTTGTAGATGGTTGTCTTCTCCCTAGGTTTCTTTCCAGCATCTTCCCTCTGTGGATATCTGTCTCTTTTCATAAGGAATTGGTCATTAGATAAAGGTCTTGTGCCCCAGTGACTTCATTTTAACTTAAGTACCCCTGTAAAGGTTATCTCTAAACAAGGTAACATTCTGAGAAACTGAGGGTTAGGACTTCAGTACATCTTTTGGGTGGAGGGCAGTTCAACCCACGGCAGCAACCACAATGTAGGAAAGACAATGTTCAAAAGCTTAGGATGACAAACTGTGTCCACATCACTCTGAGGTCCCAGGGTAAAGCTGCAAGTCTCTAACCACGCATGGTTGGCACATGCCTGTAACACCGGCACACTGGGAGGCTGAGATGGGAGAATCACAAATTTGAGCCCATTAGTGACTTACAGAGACCTTGTCTCAAAATAAAAAAAGAGGCTGGAGATGCAGTTCAGTATGAAGGCCCTGGGTTCAATCTCCAGTACTGGGGAAAAAGAGTTATGAGTCTATCAAGAGCAATGATAGACAATTGTATTGTGGAAAACTACAAATGGTGATTTCACAAATGGCAGACATCATAGCCCAAGTGAAAATCATAACCCAAATTACAATAAATTTGCTACATTTACAGACCATCTTGGATTGTTAAAAATAAACTCAGGGACATTTCTAGAGTTTATTTGAGCAATCATGATCAAGCAGCTCCAAATCAGAAGTGGCTCAAGAGCGCCACCTTTGGGACACAAGGGGATGAGAGGAGGCCTTTCCAGGCACAGAAGTAGGCGAAGACAACGTGATCGATTTCTGTTCACAAAGGCTTCCTTCTTTGTTCTCTCACTGGAAAGCTCCTATTTACATGACACTTGAAGTTCACTTGCTGCTCCTGATTGGTGGAGCTTAACTTCTGTTTTTCTTTACTATAATATAAGCATTTACAAGAAATAACTCAAGTTAAGTCTTGGTTATGTTTGCAAAATGACCAAGGTTGAGGTCACTTAGGAGGGTCCACTGGCTTTGTCATTTAGGGAATCCCTTGGGCGTGGTCTCCATTGTCCTTTGCTTTAACACTGTGATCCTCAGAGGCAACCTAACTCCCAAAATATCCAGGTATTTTTGCTTAAAAGTTTCAACACAGAGTGATTATTGTACTGCTACAAACATTGTCATAGAGCTCTTTCCTACAGTTAAGCACAGAGAACTTGTACGTACTGGGTGTTCACAAAATCAGGTTCACATTCTCTCAGGAACACTTTACATCAGGAGGCTGTCCCTGCTTCTGCTCTTCACTATCAACAAAGGGCCATCCATGCTTTTGGGTTTCAGCCAGAGTGCTCAGGGCCCTGCAGGCACTGCTTCAGCTCCTGCCAGGGCTTCTCAATGAACAGTGTCAGGGCCAGCCCAGAGACCAAGGTCAGCACACAGTGTCCAGAGAAGAGATAGAACTGCAGGGAAAGAGAGCAACAGTGCACCGTTATACTCCATGATCTTAAAGTGCACCACACTGGCTATGTAAAATGGATCTGTAGAACAAACAGTCCCAAACATTAGAAAGAAAATAAAGATGTTATCCTGTGCTGAAACCCTCTCTCCTTCTCCCTCAAATAAAACAGAGAATAATAAGGCTCTTTAGAAAAAAGCAAAACAAAACAAGCTTCTATCAAAGCCAGTAGTTTGCTTTGTTGCTAAGAAAACAAATTATGGCATTACCCTAGAACTCAGGGTGGGGTGCTGTCTCACCACGTTGGTGTCGGTGTAGTGAATGGGTGTCTCCTGAAGTCCATTGTAGAGCATGATCAGAATCGGGTGCACCAGGTAGCAGGCGTAACTGATGCTGGACAGGAAACTCCAGAGGTCACAAGAAAGCATCTGGTTCACCAGACCTGGGGAAAGGAACAGTCACTGATTCATCAACCCCAAGCACCTCTCTGGGCTGATGAAGACCTGATATCCTGGAGTCTTCTAGTCTCCCCACTACCCTCACCCATGGCAATATCCTGGAAAGAAGGGGTTTCTTTCACATTTATTGCTATAGCCCCAGCATCCAAAACATTGCCTGTCACAAAACAAATACACAAAAGTATTTCATGTAATTAAATGAATAAGCAAAGACAAACTCATGGACAAAAGAAGCATTTGCCCCAAGTGAAAACCAAATAAGGTGAATCAAGATGTAACTGTGGAACACAACAAAACAAAGGAAAATTAAGTCAGCAAAGAGTTAGTGCTCACACAGGTAGGTCAAACGCACAGTAACATGCACTAAAGCCAACAGCACCAAACGCTCGTGGTCAGCTACAATCAACTCCCGACATAAGCTTCATGTTAATGCAGATCTCACTGGTTTTGTAGTTTTATGGTCACTTTAAAAATTCATTTTGGGGCCAGGGATGTAGCTCAGTGGTACAGAACCTGCCTGGCAAGCATGAGGTCCTGAGTTAGATCTCCGGTACAAAAAAAAGAAGAAAAGAAAAAAATTCCTTTTGGCTTTACAAGTGTGTATTATAGACAGAAAATCTGTATCTAGTTTTATTGTTTTACATGTTTAGGTAAAATTAGAATAAAAATAATTTAGGCCAAACTTAAGGATTGCTGAAAGTGGCAACATATCCCTGAAGAATTTTAACCAAAAGAATAGCATGTACAGAAGATGTCTAACAACTCAGGAAGACAAATTTGTGTTTAACAAGACCTGCATGGTCCTTGTTGCTACGAACCTAAGATGGTTGACGTAATTATTTGAACTATCAAGATCTTTTCTAGTCCTGAGAGTCTCAATTAAAACTTTCTTCAACTGTTATTTTTTTTTTCAAAAGATTGAAAGATGTTTTCCAAAAATTCATTTAAACACTCACCTCCTCCATTCACTTACTACTCATTGATCTTGACATCTTGTAGAAAGAACTGGAGATATAAATCGATCATCAGTTGTCCCTATCATTGGGGGTAGGCTAGTGACAACACACTTTTGATATATTGCTCAAGAATAAGCAAAGGGACTCATTTGTCACTTAGATGAAAAGAGATGTCACTCTCACTCAGACTAATGATTGAGGGAATTTACTAATTCCTTTGTAATGATAAGGCTAAAATTTGTTTAATTATCACAACCAGTCATTCCTCTCTCGTCCTTGGCTAGCCAGTTGTTCTTGACAGCAGCAAGACTTCTGTGTGCCCTAATACCGTAACCTGCCTCTCATGGGCCTGTTCCGAGGCTCTGATCAGAAGCAGTTTTCTGGGGTGGGGAGGGGTATAGAGCTGTGGTTATGAGATCTGAAGTTTCCCATGAATACAGATACATCACTCAGAGAGAACACAGCCCACTTCCTGTTCAGCATCATTTCCTCATATAAGGGGAAGCTTTTTAAATTGTAATATTAAAGAGCAAATCTTTCATCATTTTATTAAAATACTCAAAGATTCAAGAATGATTTTAATCAACATCTCAGAGGGGGGATATTGTGCAGAAATGAAGAGCATTGGCCTTTGACTCTGCACTTGGTCCTGGGTGCATTTTCCAGCTGAGCGCCTTTCACCATGTGGCTCCATCTCCAGGCACCATTGTTCTCACTGAGAAACAGGAACTGGTTACCTACCAGTCCATCTCAGAGGAGTGTGGTCACTGTTACCTGGAGTCCCATGAGTGACATTTTCCCCAGGACCTGGTACATAGTATGTGCTCGATCAACAGGAGTTGTTAGGATCAACTGTTTTTTTCTTCTTTAAGCCGTGATTTCCAGCCACCTTTGCTGAGGATAACTGGTTTCAGTGCACAGGCTCAGTCTGAGCGTACCCTGGTGCTGTCCCTGGAGGGTAAAGCTCCTGTGCCTCCCCCAACTCAGCTCTATGGCTTCAGGACTTCTGGGAAGTTTGGGGTCAAAGCCTTTTCTAGATGCTGCCCGCCAGCCTTCATCTGCCATTTGCTGACACCACACGTACCCCATTCCCACTTCATGCTTAAACAAGGAAAAAGGAAGGAAAGCATCAGGGATCTTGAACATACAGTATCTCTCATCTGAAAGAAATTCCTTTCTTTCCATTTACATCCTTGATTTACCGGACTCCTTGCACACCAAAGCTGACTCAGTTTCCCCTTTGGAAGAGGATCTTGGCAACATTTATGTCTCCTCCATTCAGACAAGGAAACTGAAGCCCCAAAGCGTGGCTACCAGAAGTCTTCTTGTCCATGGTACTAAATTACCCTCTTTTCTCACTACACCACTCTGCCTGAGTCCTTTTGTAACCTCTAAACTAGTCACTGGAGAGACCACAAGTTTTTCTTTCAGAACCATCATTTGTACAGAAACCAGTATAAAAACTGTGCAGAGTGTTTTCCCCAAGTATACTTTCAAATCAATGTTTCTGAGTCAGTATGAATCATTCATTAACCACTCCAACAGACAGAAGCCCCTCTGAGTATGTACTTTATTTTAAATGTGTCACCTTCACAGAGACAGGATATGACCCCAAGTGTAGAGCTCACCTTCCTCCATAGGTAACATAGGTGTAACACCTCCTACCTCCATAGCCTTCTTGGCAGGCAAAGATGACCCAGCCCACGGCCACTGCCCACAGGGTCCGGTGAAGAGCCTGGTAGACTGCAGCAGCCACAGAAGAGACAGCAGAGATATCATCCATTACATATGCCAGAGCAACAACTGCAAACAGAGTCAGTAGGGAGAAAATCCACCCCAACAGGGCCTGCACCTATGCGGAAAGGAGAAGCAGTTCACAGCCCACGTTAGCCACGTATGTCCTTTTGCACAAACTCCCTTTTTAGGTGTTATTTCTGTCACTTCAGATCTCTATGTGTGAACCTGTTGTTGCACAAATCTGACTAAAATGAAGGTGCAGATTAGTGGTCACCAGGGATTGGGAATGATCTGGGAGAAAGGAAGGTGAATGACTGTAAAGGATGGAACGAGGAGGCTACGTGGTGACAGAAGAGTTCTGCTCCTTAGTCATGGTTGATACATGAATCTCTACATGACACAACATTGTCTAGAACTACACACATATACAAGGGGTGCAAGTCAAACCAGTGGACCTAAGGTCTATGGATTGTACCAATGTCAAGTCCTGGGTGTGAATGTGTACCGTGGTTATGTCACATGGTACCAGAGGAGGAACCAGGCTGAAGGTACATAAGACCTCTCTGTACCATTTTGACAACTTCCTATGAATCTATTACCATTTCCAAAGAAAACTGAGAGAAAAAAGTAAGTAAAGTACTGCTCAAGTCCACTCCCATCAATGCCCCTTATCCAAAGAGGGCTTCTTGTTTGGTCCTGCCCTCACCCTAAATGTGAGGGCTACAGTGTATAGCCCCTGCCTGGGCTACACCTTAGTCACTGGGACGTAAAATGGCTGGAGGATTAAGAAAATGGAGAAGTTGTCCTCTCAGAGAGCAGCCCCATGATTTAAATGCTACTACTGGCTCTTTAAGGTCGTGCCACCTTTCTTGACCTTTGTAGACCCAAATCCATCTTCCCAGGCTCTCTTTCTTCTCTGTATTCTAGTTCTGCTGTGATGGTGCCTCCCCTGAACTGAGCCAACATTTTGTCTCTGAGACCATGCTGGGTCCCCAGGTCCTACCATAGTTTCTGGCTACAGAGAAAGAAAGGTGACCTTTAAGGCACCGTCAGCCTAGGATCCCCTTTATACCTTGGCTAATTCCTTGGCTTCTACAGACCTGTAGTCTTACAAAGTACATCCAAGATACATGTTCCCTTCCTGTCCTTGCCTGTCTGTCTAGTCAGGTCGGCAGGGAGCATGCCATCTCATTCCTAGCACATGGCACACACCAGCTCCCTCTAGCTCAGACTCTGGCTCCTTATTTTCCAACTTCTAAAGGTTTGAGTTGAGTCTATCCAACCTTTCTACATTGTTTCTCCTGCTCAGCTTGGCTGGATTCTACCTCTGTGATTTCTGGTCCTGACACGGGCCCTGGAAGTAGTTCCCCAACGCTCCTTTTTAATCTTAGCTTTTCTCTTTCACTCACACCCATTTTCTCCCTGGCCTCCATATAACCTGGACTATGTTGAAATGACTCTGTTATAATCTACAACTGAACAGTGCATGGCTAGGGAATATCATAAGTCTAACTTATAAAAAAGCCACACAGCCCCTCTCCATCATTTCCATCTGGATAAATCCCGTCTCTTGTTCCTGCCATGAGCAATACAAGGTTCTCCCCATGCCAGGGCTTCTTCCCTGAGAAGCCTAAATGAGGTACACACAAGACCAAGGCAAGCAAATGTGGGCCTATCAGGAGTTGTATCCTAATAGTGCAATAGGATTCCTGGTCTCTTTTCCATTGGGAAACAAATTATTGATTCATTTACTTATTGAACATCTTCAGTGAATCAGAATATCTCAGAACCAGATGCTGGAGATTAAGAGGTGTGTAACAGATGGTGTGTTCAAGGAGCTCACAGTCTCTGGGTAGAAGAGTGTGCTACCCTGTGCTAAGAACAGAAATGGATAGAACATGGTGGATTAGGAAGAAGAGACACAACCTGGCCAGGGGTGGTGGGGGGATAAGGGAAGACTTCCTACAGGAGAAAACTCCAAGTGAGCTTTTAAAGCTAAACAGAATTAAGTCAGAGGAAAGGAATGGGTATTGAGAAAGCTGGAGAGTAGAAAAGCATGTTCCAGGCAGAGTGGGAAGCATGAGCAAACACATAGATGCCAGGATAGTTTGTGTGTGAGTGGCGGTGAGCAGGTCAGTGTCATTGACACACCATACTCAAGGCAGATAGCAGGAAAAAGATGACGCTGGAGAGACAGAGCCTCATTATAGGGACCTTGAGGACTTTCCTGAATAGATCAAACTTTATCCTGGAAGCCACTGAAAGGTTTTGCACAGTTCAAAGTCACAGCCAAGTAGCTTCTAAAGTAGATTTGAGATCAACAAGGCTGGAGGCAAGTAAACTAAACTAGGGAAGAAATCCAGACAAGACATGAGAAAATCCTCAACAAGATCAGTTAGAGAGGCTCAGAGAGGGTGGCAGGAGAACCCATCTGCAGGGCTTGTGGTTGCCTAAGGTGGGGGGAGTGATCAATAAGAAGATGGCTTGCAAGTGAACCTAGGCATCCAACTTGAATAGTGAAGTTGGGTGGTGAGCCAGAATGATTGCCCACAAGGGCACCAAGGAAGGCAGTATGTGTTCAGGGCCCACATAGAAGGCAAAGTAACAGCTTCTTCCATTCTAAACACCTCATATCCTAATTCCCAGATGGAACCATCAAGTAAGATGAAGAATCCTGTCTATAGAAACCACAGAGCTTGTGCTATTAAAAATCCAACTCAACTCACTACCCCCTCCCAGAGAGGACCTTGTCATTTTCATTTCACTGGGTGTGCACGCCCAGATCACTGGTTTCTCTGGGTCTGTACCGAAGCTCTGTGGAGGAGATTCCACCGGGCTCCAAATCTGGAGTTTCACAAGGGAAGCTCCGTAAAGAGAATCAGAATTTGGCAAAAGTAAGTTTGTCCCATCTTTCACCGTGAAAAGACATCCACAACACACTACAGCACAATAAAGTACCTAGCGATCCAGTTCCTTCTATCCAGGCTTGGAAGAGCTTGGACAGATGGGCCACACCAATCCCACCCAGACTCTTTCCCTTAAAGGGAGGTATGAAGAAACCATACCTTAGTTTTAAGAATGTTCGGCTGATGGTTTTGATGCATGAAAATACTAAAAAAGAGGCCCACAAGGAATGGTCCACACCGGCAGTAGGGTTTGGTATAATATTCCAAGAAATACAACACAGTCTCTTTTTCACTGAAAAATATAAGGAAACAAGGCCAAAAGTTATGTTTGATCTGGGCATAGGAAAAGGAATCCCTGCAGTGTCCTCTAGAGTAACCATCAAATCCAAGGATAGATTTGGGGCACATTTGTTCATTTCCTCCACAATGGTCCACAAATGGTGGCCTCACGATCATGCCTTGGGTCCCAGTTGGTTTATTCAGATTCCAAGTTCCTTTGGGCCCCTGGACCCCAGATCCCAAGGAAATATTATGACTTCATCTTTCATTTTAAAGAGTCAATTCTGGTGACTGATACATCAGGATAATTCTAAGAATGTGGCACCAGAAGAGACTGTCCTAGAGAAAAGAGTTGTAAGAGGTCCAGGCTGGGTCCTTAAGTGAATACCAACAAGTATTCTTTGATGCTGTGATTTCCAAGGTAAGGTCCCCTGACACCAACATCCAAATTCATACCTCCCCAAACTTACTGAATAGGAGGAAACTGGTGGTGAACCCAGCTGTCTATGCAGTGACACACCCTCCAGGTGACCCGATACCCCTTGTTCGAGAACCAACATCTAGAGATTGCCTGTCACAGGCAATGTTCAAGTTGCACCCAGGCCCACTGAATCAGGATCTCTGGGCATAAGACCACAGAGGAGGACTATTAAAGCTCCCCTGGGCTTCCTAAGTGCAGCCTAGATTGACAGCCACTGCTTTAAATGTATCTTGGTTACCCCAGAAGCTAGAAGCAGTCTTAGCTCTGAATCCCATCACTGTCCATGCAGGGATGATTAGAGGCAGGAAAGTCTCCTGAGGATTAGTGAGTGGTTCTTCAGCCAGGGCTTCCCATTAGGATCCTCGGGAGCTGCCGAATAAGTCAGTTGCCTGGGCCCCACCCCCAGAGATGCTGATTCAATCTGACAGAGGGAAGGATGGAAGCATTCAGAGTTGAGAACATCCAGCTGAAAGTGCATCCAAGGTTGAGAACCACAGGACTAGGCATGTGAAAGCTTCCTCCTGGGTCACCTGGACGTGCTCACAAAGGCAGACGACAATATATGAAAAGAGTTTAGTGTTCTGTCCAGAAGGCTTGCAGTGTAGCCATTCATTCATTCATTCATTCAATCAGTCACACATTCCACCACTCACAAATACATACTGAGCACTTACGTGCAGGCACTGTTCTGGACAGTTTTATATGGGGAGGACACCTGCTCTGGGAATGTGACATTTGCAAAGAAATCTGGAAAAAGTGAGGAAGAAAGCCCTGCAAAATCTTAGACTAATGGAAGAGTATTCTGGGCTGAGGGAACAGTAAGTGCAAAGGCCCTGGAGTCTGGGTTGGGGGCAGAGGGTTAGTGTGTTCAGTGAGGCCAGGGTGGTTGGTCTGGGGTCAGCAAGTAGGAGGGTGATAGGTGAGACTAGAAGGCCACTGGAGGAATTTGAGCAGATGACCAACATGTGTGATTTTCATTTGTGTCACTCGACTGCTGCATTGAGACTAGACAAGCCAGTAATCATATTAAGTAATACTTGTTTAATACACGGGATGATTATTAGGAAGAATCATCATCCATAACTCATTGAGGAGGCAAAATAGAATTGTAGGTAAGGTTCTATGTTCAAACCACGCCTATACCACCTAGTATCTGTGTGATCTGGAAGAGTTTAACCCCAACATAAGCATCAGCCTGCATCTTATAACGGAGCTTCCAAGCAGATTTGCTACTCTAGAAGTAAACATTTCAGCCACGCGGGGGCACTCCTTCCTCTGAGAAGGATTTCAATGGACAAATGACTTCAAGAGGACTCCCAGAGGTTGAGATGTCGGGAGGCAAAATACAATCAACTTTCTCTTCCTGGCCGAAAATTCCACGTCCAGATTCTTCACCAGCGATGGGCACAGTGCAAACAGCCTAGCATTCCGCAGCCCTCCCTGGGAGATCCTGGCCCCAGAAGGGCAGACGAGGGACAGAGAGGGGTAGGTGTGAACCGGTTAGTTACCTGGCTGCAGATAGAGACGCCACTGGAAGTTTATAAGCCAGGGTGAGCATTGCAGTGACAGTGAAAGACAACAGGAACAGCATGGCCCCGAGCAGGACAAGGACATGTTTACTTCTGCAAAGAAGAGAGGTCATGAAGAAAAAAAAAAAAGAGAGAGAGAGGAAATGGGGAGGAGCGGCCCTCAGTTTGCTTCACCACAACATTTATGAAGGTGAGGATCAGAGGAGCCTCTGCCACTTGCTTCTGAGAGAACAGGAAGGGCTTGTGGAGGGGCAAGGGGAGCTGGGCTGGGGTGGGAGAGGCCTTTTACCTTGACTCTTTACTCATTATGTGACCCTAGATGGGGCCTTGAACTCGAGTTTCTCCTTCTAGACAGGAATGATAATAACATTCTTGCCACCACACCGAAGCTTACCATGCTTGGGAATGAAACCATGCCTGGGAAGGTCCCTTGTCATCTACAACACACTATGTGGACATGCACGGTGGCTGATTTAGGAGAGAAATTAATTGTTCAACACAGGGTGGGGCAAGGGTGGACACAGGCATGCACTCCAAGGATGGAGGAGGGAGGATAGAGTAGGAAGGGACCCTGGAGTCCCTGACAACCTGGAAGCAGAGTCTGAGACAAAGGCCTAAGCATGGGTAATCATGTGGGATTCGGAATAAGGGGTAGGAAACAGGAGCAGAAGAGCAGGAAAAGCCCATACAAGGGTGTGCTCTCAAAGTGGCCAATGCTCAGTTCTTCCAGGATGTTCTGCAGAGCCTTTGGACCTGTGCCTTAGAACTGTCCTGAGGGATGAAAGAGAGAACTTTCTCAGTATCTTCTATTCCACCTGGGTCAAGTGTGGCCCCATGCAAATTGATTCCTCCACACTTCAGGATTCTGCATGTGTGAGAACAGAAGGGTCCCTGAGAGGGTCCCAGTTGTAATACTAAAAGGTTCTGGCTAAAGAAAGAAGAGATTTAAGGACATTGGCTCGGCGTGAGGCACTGTCTGCTTGTACCGGATCAGAATTGTAAGGGCTGGGACTAAGTGAATCTCCAGTGATGTAGAAATGTCAAGCACAGGTCTCTTGAATTTTAAAAAGTATTTTATCATTATGATTCAAAATCCCCAAAGATATTCATATCCTGACCCTAAGAAATATCAGAGTTGGAGACAAATGTTTGCCATAAAAATATTCATCAGGCCATTGTTGATGGAAGCATAAAATTGGAAATAATCCAAATGTTTAACAATGGGAGAAGGTATAAGGAAATTGCTGTATAAATCACTTAAGAAATGGAATGTTACACAAACATTACAATTATGTTTACTTAAATTAAAATAACATAGGGAAATGCATATGCTACAAAACTATCCAACAAAAGGTAGTAAAGTATATATGCAGAATGCTTTCATGTATAAAAAGCTAAGCAGAAAAAATATTAGAAGAATAAGCACCAAAATATTAACCATAACTTCATCTTGCCTTGAGTGACAAAGGACTCCTGTGGTGAATAGTCACGCATGAATATTTCCCCCTTCTCTTAATCCTAATATTTTCCAGTGTTTCCTACACTGAACAAAATTGAACAAAATTATTGTTGAATTACTGATATTCTAACAAAAAGAATAAAAATCTCTTAAAATATGGCATGAGTAATCTACAAACTATAAACCTCCCCGTGAATTATTGAGGCCATAAACTGCTTCTAAAACTAACAAAAATCAAGGTGATAAATATCCAGCGTGAGGAAGCAGCTACACTGTTACATTGCTGAGGGCACTGTAAATTCACTTCATCCTTCCCAGAGAGCAATCATCTCACACTGTGTAACAAGCACCACAAAATTGTTCCTACCCTTTGACCTAGTAATTCCACTTGGAAATATGCCCCAAGGCAATAACAAGGAGAAAAAAGTAGTGTGTTCAAAGATATTCATTGCGGTGCCATTTATAATCATGAAGAATTGGGCACGATCTAGATGCCTAACCATAAAAAGGGCATATAAATCCTATAACTGGCAGGTATGCAGGTTATGTCAATAGTGGAAATGTTTATAAGAACAGTTGGAATGAGGTACTGCACATACACTGATTGTAACTGCAAAAATGCACTGACTTGAGTACAACAAAGATTGGAAGAGAATGCGGGAGAAGGTAAATGGTAGAGGATGCAGTACCTCCTTTTCTGAAGTTAATTTCCTTAATTTAATAAAAAGCTGCTCTACACAGAGCTGCAGTTTCAGGAAAGAGGCCACATGAGGAAGAAATCTTGCCTGGGTTAGACTCACTTTCCATAGATGAAGATGAACACCGGTGTTATGAGATGGAGCTGGAAGTCGTTGGCCAGGTACCAAGTCCAGCCATTGCACTGAAAAGAGAGAAGCAAGGTGGCAGGTGCACTCCATACTGTCACCAGGAGAAAGAGCTCAGTGGGAGGGGCTGGGGGACTGCCTTGGGCAGAGAAGGAAATTTGAGTTCCAGTTATTTCACATTCCTCATCTTATCCATCCTTGAACAAGCCTGGATAGTGGATATCATTATTGCTATTTTGTAACACGGAGATTCAGACAAGTTCTCTCTTTTGTTTGTAGAAACCAATAATAGCTAGTTTTCTGGGCCAATTGTGGGAACTGAACTCCTTCATGTTACAGGAATGTATGAGGTTATCCTTATGGTATGGTTGAAACTCAGAGGGCTCAGCCTTGTTCTCTTCCCGTGCCTGGCCCCCACCCCCAGCTCTAGGTGGAGAGAATGTGTTCATTTGGCACCAAGGCCTGGCTCCAGATGCACTTTTGTGGGAACCGCAGAATTCCCATGCCAGATTGACATGGGATTGTCTGACCAAAGCCACATGGTTCTACAGACTGACCATACTTGTGCAAAATAAGGCAGTGCTTCTATTTTGTCTTCCATGTGGGGAAATTCCTGTAGGCAATTCTGTTCTTTGGACCCCAGAGTCCCAGGGAGCCCAGACTTCTCTGACAGAAGAGGAAGCTGTGTCCACAGATCGAGACAAGCCCTCGTGGTGGGGAAGAGGGTCAGTGGTTGGGCTCCAGGTCCCTGGCACCTCTCCTTCCAGGTAGGATGCATCTCGAGAGGAGACTGGCTCCTGTCTTTGCAACCGGCTCCTACAAACGGTCCAAGCCAGTCTGCATCTGAGAACACACAAAGCTCTTGGGCACTAGCCATCTTGGTACTAAGTGGTAGGTGCAATCAGTAGGGACCTGCCACGCTTTAGAAATTTTCTTCTCAGCCCCACTTTCAAAACATATGAGGAATTGGTGACATGATTTAACTTATAGCTATTTCACTTTCTATCACAATGAGTTCTTTATGCGGACACGGAGGCTTTGGGGAGACCATGCCATTTCCAGGTTTTGTGCCTGTAAACCTACCTTGTCAGGTCTGGCTTGAGACTGAGTAGAATTCACCATGATGAGAGTACAGTGTGATATTCCACCCCAGTAGAGGATCTTTGTGCACAAGAAAGCAAAGTGGCCTTCCTCATGGGATGACAGGGACTGGCTCAGGAACCACAGTAGAGTGGGAGCAGCTGCCTCAGGCAGGACACGCATGTAGACTGTCACCCCTCACTAGCACTACTGTGACCCATTGTCTCTGCTTTCAGCAGCTTCCCTGGGCATAAATGGGCAGGGTCGCATCTACCCCTACTCCCAGAGATGGGCCTCAGGTTGGCCCTTGGAAAGTTCACCAGACCGTGTGATCAAGATACCCTCTTTGCACCCATCTGCCCTAGCAACTGGAGACTCACCGCATTTCGAACCAACACAAAGTTATTCAGCAGCAGCAGGTTTGTCCACCAAGCTTGCCGGCAGCTATCCCAGTGGAATTTGGGCACTTCCCAGACAGGTCCCCAGGGAACAAGAGAAAACAATCCAACCAAGCACACTGAATACAGGTGAAGAGGCTGCAACCTGGCAGGAGACAGACGGGAGACAGAAGGTGACTGTCCAGGAGGGTTCCATTCAGTCCCCTCTGTGGGCATGTGGTAGATTGCATGGATGGCAGCCACTTCCCTACCAGGCCTCAAGCACCCATGCATTCAGGGATTCAGTACAATTTGCTGAGCACCTGTCATGTGCTGCTGTGGGTCTGCTGATGAAAAAGTACTACGATTTATTGCGCAAGTCATCTAGTCAGTCACTGTGATGGGAGCTTTGTAAATATTCTATCAGGCAGCTCTTACTTCCATGTCCTCTGAGATTAGAGCGCAGAGAAGTGGGGGCAAGTTGCCCATGGCCACCCAACCACAGAGCAGCACTAAGATCTGACACCAGTTTGTGTTCTTTCCACATGGCTCACTCAGTAGAAACCCCTTTCCTCTCCATCTTTCCCTTTCCTCTTTTTCTTCCTTCCTTCACATCCTTCCTCCCTCCAAGCAGGATACGAAGCAGCTACAATGGTGGTGAATGAGGCACAAGGGATCTAGAGCAGTGTGGCTCAAAAGAAGTAGAACTGTAAGGCACAACTGCCACTCATGTAGCATTTTCTAGTAGCTGCATTTTGAAAAGTCAAATGGCACGGGTACAATTAATCTTAATGTCATTTATTTAGACTAATATGTCCAAAATATCATCATTTCAAACATGTAACCAATATAAATTATAATAAGCCATTTTATGTGTCCTTTTACTGAGGGTTCGGTTGCACAAATACATTCAGTTGGCCACTGGTGTCTGTGGCCACATACTGAACGGTGAATGTCTAGGGTTTGGAAATGAGGATGTGGTGGGGAGGTGCATACAGCTCTGGCATAGATTCTGGGCAGTCTGGAATCAGATCGCTCTTTTATTTGTTTTTTTTTTGTACCGGGGATCGAACTTGGGTCCTTGCACTTGCACAGCAGGTGGCGATAAGATCGCTCTTTAAACATTTTGAAACTGGATGTGATGGTGCATGCCTGTAATCTGAGCATTCTAGGAGGCTGAGGTAGGAGAATCACAGGTTTGAGCCCAGCCTGGACAATTTAGCAACTTAGCAAGACTCTGTCTCAAAATAAAGGAAGGGCTGGGGACGCAGCTCAATGCAAAGGTCTTAGGTTCAATCTCCACAACAAGGGAAAGGAAAGGAAGGGAAGGGAATATTTTGGCATGCTTTTCCTGGTATGTAGAATCCAAAACTTTTTACAAAGGAAGAAAAAGATGACATGAAAGTAGGAAAGAGATTATTATTAGATAAGTGAGAGGAAATCGATCGGGGGGGGCATGCAGGAGAAGGTAATGGGATGGAAATGATCAAATTATATCATATACGTGTATGAAAGTTATTGAAACCCAATATTTTATAAAAGTAATGTGCACTGATAAAAATATATTTTAAAATTTATTTGGGGCTGGGAGTGTAGCTCAGTGGCAGAATGACTGTTTAGCATGCACAAGGCCCTGGGTTTGATCTCCAGCATCACAAAATAAATAAATAAAAATAATACACTTAGAAACTCAAGGTAGTTTTCACCCAATGAGGACAGAGGAAATGACCCCCAGCACCTTTAAACATCTGGGTGAGGGGTCAGGCCCAGGTGGGGTGTGACAGATGGGAGCTGGCAGGACTTGTAGTGTCTCCACTTAAAGGTGTCCCGTCCTTCAGCAAGGTGGCAGAACAGCACCAAGACTCTGGTCTGCACCTGTGGCCCAGACCTGTTGAACTCTCTGTCTCCTTGCAGTGACATCATCCTACACAGAGCAAGGCCACTGGGCTTTCAAGGAGCTGGAACAGAGCTGCTGACCAACGTCAGAAAGAGTAGGCAACTGACTGTGATCGTTAACTGTGGTGTCAACTTGCATAAGAAGTGCCCAGCTGATTGGTTTATAACAGTTCTGGGTGTGTCTGGATGATGGACTCTTACTGAAGAGGGAAGACCCACCCTGGGTGTGGGTGGCACCAATCCATAGGCTTGTAGTCTGGGAGAAATAAAAAGGGGAAGAAGAAGGAAGTCTCGCTTCTGCTTCTTCAGAGAAGCTCCAGTCTTTGCCATCGCCTTTGGACATCCATCTCCAGGCCTCCAGCTCAGACTCTCCAGCCTTCCAGTTCAGATTCTTTGGCTTCCACTTTTGGCTGGACCCATCAGACCTCCAGCAAGCAGACAGCCCTTTTGTACTCTTTCCCACTTGACTCTGCAGGCAGCCATTGTAAGCCTGTCTTGTAAATCCTAGATAGTGACTATGTCAGGGTGCACCTTTCCAGATCAGCTCACATGTGTGTTTGCTCAGCTAGCAAGAGCCTCCCTGGGCCTGCCTGGGCCTGCCTGGGTCTGCCTGGGTCTACCTTGCTGGCCATCTGACCTCATGGCTACTCCTGCAGGCCTCTGTCCCCCACCTCCTTGAACTCCCACCTGTCACCTTCTCCCCAGGGGGGATTCAGCCCTGCTCCTCTCCAAACAGTGCATGGGACAGACATCATCAGGAGGTAGCAACCTCCTGCCCCCACAACAGTGTTCCCAGCTATTGTGCACCCTCCAGTCAGGATGCACATTAAAATGAGAGCTCTGTATCAGGGGTCCCGAGGGGGCTGAGGCTGCTGGGAGGGACACTCCTTAAGTTGCAAGCCTACAGGAAAAAAACAAAAAGTGAGTTCTAGTTTTGCCTAAATTGTGCTAAATACAGCCTAAAAATGTATGACTTCTCCTTTTCCCTCTTGCATCAAAGGTGGGTCATGATGGCACTGCATTTGTCTAGCATGCACAAAGCCCAGAGTTGACCACCAGTACTGCCAAAAAATGGGGGGGGGGGATTTCTCTTTCCTAAGACTTTTTGAGAATCCAATGAGATAAAAGACAACCTTTGAAACATCTGTAGTACCATAGAGATGGACATGTACTATACCTTTAGCCAAGCTTTCAGGAGGATTAAAGTCAAAGAAGGTTTTTAAAAGTGGCATCCTGAGACTAGGAGTATAGGAGTGTAGCTCAGTGATAGATCTCATGTCTAAAATGTGTGAGGCCCTGAGTTTGATTCCTGCACTGGGAAAAGGATAAAAACACAACAAGAGGATCCTAGCCAGAGTCATGCAGCTGTGAGAAGCAGGCATCCTCACACTTGGTGGGTGGGACAGTAAAGTGGAAAACATCCATCAAAATATTAGATGCACCCAACCACCATCTCCACTGCAGGAATTTACCCCACCAACACACTCACCCACATGTACATATATGTGAATGCATTGTCTTCTTGTCGAAGAGAGCAAAACATTTGGAAACTCCCTCCATGCCCACTAATGGGTTCAGGTGAAATACATATTGGGTCACCCACCATACAGTGCCATAGAAGCCACCTTTAACATCAGTGATGCCTTGCAGGTGGACAGGGAATATTCCAACACCTTATCATTAAGTGAAAAAAACACATGCAAAATAATGTAGTAAGATAGTGCAATCCTACTCGTGGGGGGAGAAACAGTGCTTATAATTCCATGTAAAGTTTCTGCAAGAATTCACAGGAAACTGTTATCCAAAGTGACCTATGAGAGGAGAGACTGGAAGAGGACTCTTCATTAGAGTTACAACTTTCCACTGCAGTTACACATCTTTATCATGAGCTATAAGAAAGACGAGTTTTTAATGTGGCTCCTAGTTGGAGTAATCATGCAGTTATAAGGCTCTAGAGCATGCACTGTCTCCGGTTCCCATCAGGTAATCTCTATTCTTAGTCATCCCTAAAAGGTGGGTTTCTGATGTTCTTACAATTTGTGGTAGGTCCTGCTTTCTACCTCTACTGCCTCACAGCCTGCTTTCTGCCCTGTGGCCAGAGTGACTCTGGCAAAATGTAAATCTGACCATGGTGAGACCTTCCAAAGGCTTCTGTCTCAGAATAGCAGAGCTTCTACACCAGCCCAGGGCCCCACACAATCTGCCCTCATCCCTCTCTGACTTTGGGCCCTTCCGCCTGCTCGCCACATTGCTCACTGCACTACAGGGAACACCTTTGGGCTCTTTAGGGGTCTTCACACCCACCAGCCACAGTCTGTCCTCAAGACTTCACTTCCCCCTGCATGGACTGTTCTTCCTTCACAGCATTTTCTTTGCTTAGAACATTCCTTTTCTTCTTTCAATAGGGGAAACAGTGAGTCCTACCAGCATGAATGAGAATATCCAAAGGGTCAGGATGTGGCTGCTTTGTCTCCACACAGCTCAGAGCTGGGGAGTCGGGACTGTGTGTGCATGGTGCCGCTCCCCTCCAGTTCTCAACAGAGTTCGTGCGCAGGTCAGATTTGTTTCCTTCCTAGCTCCCACTCAATCCTTTCCAGAGTTCTCTATCTCCAGAACGCCATCATCCACCATGTTGCTCCAGCTGGGAATTTTCACATCCTTGATTTCCCCCGTCCTTGTTCCCATTGCCCATCACCAATCTAACCCTGCTCTCCTGCCTGGATATTGTGATAATTTCCCCAGTGGGTGACGCACCTCATCTTGCCCCACAGCATTCCCACCACCCCGCTCCCACCTCATGCTCCTCCAGCCCACACCTCTGCTTCTCTGTCCTGACTCCTGTGCAGCAGGTTTCCTGGGCACCCCTGCCATGCCTGTGGATGCCTTTCCCCACCCCTAGCTGACCCCTGCACTAGTCCCTCTCCTCCAGAGAACCTCAGTGCAGGACAGCTACTTAACCCCAGGCATCACACGCAAATGACTCGAGGGGAATGGGCAAACTGTTCTTGCTGGGACAAGGGCTAGGCTTGATAGAGCTTAGAAGATCATGGTGAAAAGAAATCAATAAAAGTCTATTTCTTAGCTCAACCTCATCCTCATCCTATCTGAAGGAAAAAGTAAAAGGTAGAAATAACAGCAACAGTAAAACAAAAGCTTATGTTTATTAAGGACTGAATATCCATCGGGCACTTTTCTAAGTTCTTTACCTACATTATCACATTCAGTCCTCACAAGAGCCCTGTGAAGTAAATGCCATTATTTTCTCCAGTTCAGAGATGAGAACACTCAAGCACAGAAATTCTAAAACACTTGAAGTCACACGGCGGCACAAAACTGAGCCAGAGTATGAGCTCATCAGAACTCTGGAGCCTACTCTTGCCCTCTCCATGTTACGAGCCCTGACAATCATTTCAGCTGTTTTGTGACCATGCAGTGTACCAAGATGGGCCTGGAGCTGGAGCGATGAGAGCTGGATTCCAGCCCAGCAGTCATCATGACTGAGAAAATGCATACACGAGAGAACTGAAGTTTCCTCTTGTCCCTTAACTATGACTCTCTCATTGAATCACTGCCATTCTGCTGTCACAGATTCTAAATTCTGTGCCTATATGGAGAGTCCTTCTGCTTCAACCAACCACACATTCCAAAGAGAGGGAGACCAGCATTTCCTGCCTCCCCCTCAGCAGAATGACCATTGTCCCAAGATTTGCCCAGCTCCTTTCCTGATCATATTTTGTCATTTGCATTAATCCTCTGATTTATAGGATCCATTGTCTACTAACTTGCAGCCATACTAATTTTCCTATAGAGTTCATAGATTCTGTGGAAATTGTCGGTACATTTATTGAAATCTGTTTCCTATCAGCTGAAAGACAGTTTTTGCCAATGAGACACACCAACTCTCATAGCATTTGTCTTACTGGAATTTGAACCCTAATAAAACAGCAAAAACCAAATGTTTTTAAGAAAAAAAAACTATCATTCTCAGTTTGTCTTAGGAAATTCTTTCAAACGTGGATTAAACACTGAAAAAATAGTAATGAATTATTGCATAGCAAACAATTAATTGAAAAATTATATAAATGAACCTACCTTATAAGGCGATTGAAAAAGTATCTGAATATGACCTTCAAGGTTATTCTTTTGTCTAAATTCTGATGCATCTTTAGAAATGACCTTGCACTTAACCAACCACTAAGAGAGAAAAAAGAATTACTTAGCAATAATACAGTTCACTAGTTAATTGATTAGGTTGTCTCACTCAGGATAGACTAAGTGATATTACAGTAATAGAACACCGCCAAGTCTTATAGCAACAATCTCCCCCCCCCGCCCCCCTTACTCACATAACATACTGATGGCCTGTTGCTTGGTTTCTTCCTCACCATGGGACCTGGGTTGATGGAGCAGCCACTATCCAAAAGTTCATCAGTGACCACAGCAAAGGACAAGAGCATTCTGGAGAATGCTCTCAACCCAACAATTAAATCTACCAGCCTGACAGTGATATCCTTAAAGTTCTTAGCATAAGACTTTAAAGCACTTTGCATATAATGACAATTTGATACCACTTGCTGGTCAGAACTAGGGGGCCAGGAAAGTAAAATTTTGCCGAGTGCCTAGAGGGTTGTAAGCCAAACATCTCTGGCTAACAATGTGGGAAAGTAAGACGTGGAGATTATTAAATGGGCTTCCCCAGATCACAGTTAAAATTCTGAATCAACACATTTGTTGGTGCATTCACGACCCGGAATGCTCGGCGAAAGGAACTAAAGTTGCAGACTTTACATTGTAACTTGAAGGTAAGCCTATTTGTGAGTTTCCCAACTTTTTGACATTCAAACCAGTGAGCTTTGTGAGTATTTCTCTAAGGAACAAATGTGCTTCCTATTGCAACACAAGACTATGTGTGCTGGGCCTGACTTGGACAGGATCCTGGAGGGTTAGAGAATGTCTCTATTCTCTGCCTGTTAGATTTTCCTTTGAAAAGCAGCAAGTTGGAGTCATTGAAATAGGAATGAAATTTATAGACATCTAAAAGAGACTGCTGAGAGGTGGAAGTAGAGCAGCCAATTCTGCTTCTGGCCTCTCTTAATTTCAGGAAAGGATGAATGGGGCCATCCTTTCTTTTCTGCATGACTGGTGCTCCCTCCCCCTACCAGCCTGGTTGCTAAGCAAAACCCAGGTCTCACTCTGTGTGTGAGCATACACTGCCCAGCTTTCTAGCTCATAAGAAGGCCAGAGAAGCCTGGTGGGCAAACAGGCTGTGAGCAAGACAGCTGGTTACAAGGGGCTACAGCCCAGTGTCTTGAAGAGGGTGAAAAGTGACAACCACGCAGTGGAGATGTGTGAAGCCCTCCTACAAGGGAGAAAGGATTCCAAAACAGTCACCACTAAGTATTCTTAAAGACAATCAGAAGTCTTTGGTTTCACCAGGCATGATGGCACATGCCTGTAATCCCAGCTACTCAGCTGGCTGAGACAGGAAGATCACAAGTTCAAGGCCAGCCTGGACAACTTAACAAGACTCTGTCTGAAAATTAAAAATAAAGAGAATTAGAGATGGACCTAAGTGATAAAGCATTTGCCTGTCATGCATGAGGCCCTGGGTTCAATCCTCAGTACTGCAAAAAAAGAAGCCTTTGATCCCATTGTGTAATATCAGTGACATTCTAATTAAGACATGGTTTCCTTTGTGAAACAAACTACAGTTTGAATATCCCTTCTCTGAAATGCTTGTTTTCAAATTTTGGAATATTTACACATCCATAGTGAAATATCTGGCTGACGGGACTTAAGTTTAAACACAAAATTCATTTCTTTTTCATACTATCTCATTCACAGAGACAGTATTTTTGATGTGCCTGCATTTTGTCTGTGACCAATCACATGAGTCTGGGAGTGGAGTTTTCTCTTTGTGGCGTCATGTTGGTGCCCAAAAGTTTTCAGATCTTGCAGCTTTGGATTTCAGATGAGGGACACTCAGCCTGTCTTTGTTAAGTTCTGGTTGTGGCCTTAATAGCTGTGTGCACTTGGATAAATTACTTCATCTCTGAACATGGAATTTCTCATCACCAAAAGTGGGATGATATTGTTTCATTGCTCAAAAGAAAATTTTAAATAAAAGAAAATGCGTGCCTGCTAAAGTAATAAAATAAAAACTAAAGGAAAAAAAGAGTCACAGGGACTGGTGTGAGAAATGGAAACCAGCAGGGATAAAGGAGAAAGCAGTGCCTTTCTCTGCCTCTAGACTGGCATCAGGATCTGCCTGTCTGTATCATCCTCAGCTATTTCCCCTGGGCTCAAGCAGTGCTTCTCAGACTTTAGTGGGCATCAGGGTCACCTGGGGGATCTGTGACAGCCCAGATTGCTGGTCCCGCCTCCAGAGAGTCAGACTCAGTGGTAGAGGGTGCCTGGGAATCTGCATTGCTACCAAGTTCCTGGGTGGCACAGGTCTGAGCACCATTGATGAAAGGCAGGGCACTCCCTGGCCCAAGCCAGTCTGGATGTGAGGGAGGTAGCCTCCCTGCATTTGCAATATGCCTGGACATTTGGTATCTCAACAACCTTAACCTGTGTCTTCGTTATCTTGAGGCTGTCCAGTGGCTCCTCTGCCATCTCAGACTCCCACTGCCACCCAAGGATGACCAGTGGCTTTTTCCCCCTTCATCTTTCCCTATTCCTGGCAGACTTCCTAGTCTCCAGATTGAGTTTGGGTTCCAGTCATCCTGATCTGTCCTTGCCAGCCTCCTTCCCAGGGCTCAGAATGCTGCGGGGCAGACCATCCCATCGTATGACATCCTTTTTTACCTGGTTTTGCCAGGGCCCTGTGCAGGGAACAGAGTTCTGATGTTTGCTATCTCCTGGGCACAGCTCCCCACCCTCCAGGGGCCCTGTAGCTGTGTTTCACCGACCCAGAGAGACCCAGCTGTGTCCTCCCAGAAACCTGGTGCCCAGTGAGTATCACTGCTAGGTTTGCTGCACAGCACACTGACCTGTGCATGTCTGGATTGCTCTCTGTTGTCACCTTGGCTACCTTCTAGCAGGAGCTGCTCCCCATGCAGACAGGCCCAGCTCATTCTGCACCCCACTTGCTCTATATTATAAGAAACTATCACACCAGAATCCTGAGATAAAACAGTGAAGAAATCATTCATTTTGACAACAATGTATTGAGCAGTACTCCATGGTCAGCACTGCTTTAGGCCCTAGTGACATCACAGCACACAAAACAAAAACATTCTTTACATTCCAGTGGAGAGAGAAGGACAATTAATCAAACAAAAGTGTGTCTACAGCACGGTATAGAAAGAGAAAAATAAATAAATCAAGAAAAAAATAAAGTAGAGAGTGCTGGGTGGGTTCATTTTAAAGGGAGGGAAGAGGCAGGAATGCCTGGTTGTGAAGGCAACATTTGAGAAAAAAACTGAAGCAGAAGAAGGTGTGAGGCACCAGGATATTAGGGAAGTAGGAGTTGCAGAAGATAAGTGGGGATTAGAAATCCCTTACTTTTGCTCTGCCCAGCTTGGGAGCTAGTTCTGTCCTAACCTGGTGGTTCAGGCACTGTGGAATTTCATGGATTTGTACCTACTTGTCCACATACACAGCTCTCAGAATTAACACAGCAAAAGGGGACACCGCTTAACCTTATTACCTGATCAGGAAAAATGTATCAACCCCGAGATAGTATGGGCCACTCGAAGAATAAAGGTATAGTGGGTTTTTAGGCACCTTGGTTTTCCATTCAAGCACGTTATCTGTAACAAACATAAAAAACAGTATTTTTTGTTTGGTTAATGGAAAAAAACATGTGATTTCTCTTTGCAGAAGAGAGGGCTTTGCACTGGGAGGGCTTTAGGAATCACTGTCATTCACTTAATAGAGAAATTAGGTTGGGAATAAATGCGGTGCCAGAGGTCCCTAACTGCCACTCGGGCCTTAAGCTCCTTTTTGCCCTCATGGTGGATGCAGCCCCCTTGGACTGTAGCGACATCAGGATGCGTGCACAGCACCTGGAAGGCCCCTTCAAGCTTCCCTAGACTGGCCCCGCCCCTTGTTCTGTTCATATGTATGGTCCCCTGTGGAAAAAGTGCCCCGTTATTGATGAGAGGGTCAAGAGTGTGGCAATCGGAAGTGGTAGAGAAATGCTGATTTACTGCTAGCACACTATGTATACTTGCCTATTTTGCAGGTAGGAAAAAAAACATTACTTCCTTCCATTAATCAAGACAGCACAGGTCTCTGATAGTGAGCGTGCAATACTCAGGAATTGCTCTGTGCCACCTTATTCCTAGGAGGAGCCACTGAATGCTGGCCTGGTCTCTAAAACAGAAGGAAGCTGCCAGCCTCCCGCCCCATGGCCCAACATGATCCCCATGCTGAGGGTCTCTCCTCCCCAACCTCTCCTAGACTGAAGGGATACCAGTTCCCGCACCCAAAGACAGCCACGCCGTCATCTGGCTGGTGTGTCCCGAGATAATCCAAAGGAGGCTCAAGACCCGGATGCCATTCAGTGCAGGGAAGGTGCCTTCTGGCATCTTTGTGGTCCAGATGGCTGGCATATTCTTCTGCCAAGAAAAGCACTGCAGAGCATGATTCATGGCTCCTAGAAACCCTGGGCAAGAGCAGAAGCATTACTGTTTATTCCGAAGGCCAGCAAGCCACACAGAAAGAACTTGGCATTCACCTCCAACCCTGGAAGCTTGACTTAGATCTCTATGGTCCCCATTTGACCAGTCTGGGCACTCTTGCACTTGATCTCCCTCCACTTTGAACCTTGACTTCCCCAAGTAGACTCGACCTGAGCTTGGTGCCCCATAATGCCTTGCACAGAACATACTGCCCAAGCCCAGGTCCCCAGATGCCAACCCTTGACTACTACCTAAGCCTGCTTTTCAAAAGCCTGGGGAAAGCAGAATAAGGACTTCAGTTAGAAATCACCTGTTATGTCTTGTGTCCAGATGTCCCCTCAAAGCTTCATGCAGTCATAGGTGGGGCTTTTTCAGAGGTGGCTGGACATAGAGTATGTGATACCAGGATCAAGGGTGCATGATTACTAAATCAGACCGCTGATTGACTTGGCACCCTTCACTAATCCCAGTAGCCTAGATAGGATATAAAAGGCCCAGAAAGAAGCAGCTAAGATCCTTGCTTGCTCACCTGCCTGCTTGTCATGTACTATTTCTCTTCTAGAATCCCCTTCTGCTATGCCCCCTTGCCTTGGAGTCAGCCAACTATGGACTGAAACCTCTACAAACTGTAAGCCAAATAAAACCCTTTCTCCTTTAACTTTGAGTGTCAAGTGTTTTATCTCAGCAACAAGAAAAGTAACCAAGATACCACCTGATCCACTGAGCCAGCATTTTACTTGAATTGGCATCCCTGGGTTCTCCCAAGGATGAACCACTTATAAATAATATCTCTAACATTGGTCAGTGCACAAGTACCCAAACAGGAGGGAAAGCCAGGCCTGGTAAGCACTCAGGAGGCTGATCCAGGAAGATCACAAGTTCAAGGCTAGCCTAGGCTACATAGTGAGCTCAAGGCCAGCCTGGACTACTTAGCAAGACCCTGTCTCAAAAAACAAAAACAAGCAAAACAAAACAAAAGCAGGAGGGAGTTGGTCTGGTAACTAAGGTAAAGGCTTTAGAATTACTCCTTGCTCTGAATCTGCCTGTCTTTTATTAGCTCTGTGACCTCTGGCAAATAAATTAACTTCTCTGTTTCTAAGTTTCCATATCCACAAAATGGGAGTCAAATTTTTATAATCACAAGACTACATCATGAAGAATAGATGAGGTAAGGCATGTATATCGATCTGAAAAGACACTTATAGAATCTCAGCTATTATTAGCACTATTTTAAGCCTTACCGTTTTAAGAATGTTTAATCCCTTCTCCTTAGTTTATTTCCTATATTTTTTCTTTAAATTTTACTTGACCCATTCTGAGTCATAAAGTGGCTGGAATTTTGGAACAGAAATCTCTATCACTGAAGAGGGCTCCTCAAGACTTGTACTTTCTCCTGAACAGCGCTCAAGAGCTCAGTACCTCAAACATTGTAGACATCAGTGTGTCCTTGCAGAATTAAAACTTATTCACATACAAGATTCGACTTAAAACCAAGTTCTGGGGATCTAAATCAATTTCTTTAATTGAAGGATTTAATCACCTAGCCTTTTGCGGTTCCAGCAGGGATTCTGAGCTTCCTATTTAGGTCACTCCCTGTGATGTTGCCTCTGCGTCAAGGCCAACCCTGGCCCTTTCATTTGGAAAAAGCACCAGGACTTGGCAATGAATGCCACACAGGCAGCAGTCCTGTACCTTTCACCTGGCTCCTCCCATTTCCTGAGAAACTCTGTGTTCTCATGGAAACACTTGGGACCAGGCCTCTGTCAGGTTCAGCCAAAGCTACTTAACCTCCTTGAGCCTCAGTTCCATCAGTTTTAGAACAGGCATAATTTTTGGCAGGGTTGTTGTGAAGATGGTGTTAAATGTCCAGCTCGAGGCCTACATTGGCAAGCAAGTGCTTACTATCTTTTATTATTATTTTGCCATCTAAATTCTACTGGTGGACGAATGTAACCAACAGTGGTTTATAAAATTGTCTGAAAATAACTGATCTATAGGGGAGATAGTCTTCCTGAGTCCCATCTGGCTCATTTGTAAATGGACAGTACTGTAAACCACGAGGGAGGACTCTAGGGAGGACTGGCCTAAATAGTGCATGGGTCACTGGTTCTCAAGATGGAGGTCCCCAGACCAGGAGCTTCAGCCTCACAGAAAACTTGTCAGAAAATGCTCATTCCAGGCTGTAGCACACTTACCAGATCAGAATCTTTGGGGCTGGGGCCCACAGGCCTGCACTGTACTGTGCCAAAGTTTGAGACCCACTGGGTGTGATCATGCTTTAAAAAACCTGGCAGCCCCTTTGGATTCTCTTATTATTATTGTGAGCGCACTTTAAGCAATGGCCTATGAAGTAAAAAATCCTGGTTTCCAGAAGCTGAAATCCATAGCTATTAACTTCATGACAGCATCCTCATAGTTTGCTTTCTCACTTGTGCCTGGCTTATCTAAATAGCAAAAGAAAGGCATGTGTAACAGAAGACCACTCAAAGTAAATGCAATGGTTATTTGGAGGATAAAGAACCAGGACTCCCAAATTCCCAATTTGGCTCTAAGCTTCCAGAAGACACGGTGGTCTTAGGTTGATTTGACTTGCTGCTGACTGTAAAAGGGGAGAGGAAAATTGCTGAAGCTCGGGTAATTTTTTTTAAACTTGCTTTGGAAACAACACAGAGGACCTCCAGCTCCTCCCAATTCTGAGGCTACAATTAGATGTAACTACTGAAAAAGCAAATGTAGCCTCAGTGATTTGATCATAGGAATTTCAGGTTGAGTAAGGAACCTTAGTTTCTGCAGTGCCTGCCTGACACCACGCCAGGTGTGTGCTCCAAACCCTGTGATCCAGTCTTAAACAAGCTTAACACTGAGGAAAGCAATGGGGATTATGCTGCCTGTAGCCTCCCAGTCAGTCTGACAGAGGCCCCTGAGTCCAGTTGACAGCACGCTCTGCAGCCCATGTAAGAGGTCTTGGCAGATGAAAGGTCCACCATCTTTTCCTTTTCCTGCCTTAACTGAAGAGAATGAAGAAAAGGGGGATAAACTTAGGAGGATGTGAGTCCACATTGTCTCATTTCTCCTTCCACAAATCCCCTTTGGAGCCCTTATTTTATACTTGTGGAAATTGGGGGCCATAGAGATCAAGCGATTTGACTGGAGATTGCTAAGCACGCGGTCCAGCCACAACGCCGACCACGGACCTGTCTACGGGGCAGCCAGGGCAGAGAGAGGCCACCAAGGGCAAGGCCACCATAACTGTCCTCTACATCTGACAGGGCTGTACTATAACCAAGAGGGTGGGTTTATCTTCCGGGCTGTTGGGAGATATCACAATGTAGAGGGAACCTGAACAATCATCACTTTCCATCACAACTAACAGAACTGCTTCTGGGTATGAGCAGGAGCTTGTGCCAGGGGACTTGGAGCCTCTCAGCTCCTCCTTAGAATATCTTCATCCCAACCCAAATGTGTTTTCTTGTTCTTCTTCTTGTAGAGCTTTCATGTTACTGTCACTGCTAGTTTTGTTGAAAACTCAAATAGGAACTAAAAAAAGTAATTGTCATGTCTTCTGCATTAGGCATGCTCCCTGTATCCACCTCATCTCATATTCATATTCTTCCACTTCATTCATTGAAAATTTTGCTTTTAATTTTTATCTCCTTCACTGGAATAAGGAAGGACAATTGTGTAGATGACCTAAAGGGGATCTGCCAATAATTATTCCATATGTTCTAAAGGTATTTGTATGGCCAGGCAATTCTTGTGTAAGGCATGTGTGTGTGTGTGTGTGTGTCTGTGTCTGTGTATACATACACAAGTGTACATGTATGTATGTATACTTTTCCCTTCCATGTAGGCAAATGGAAACAAAGGTAATGCTCTTGATGTTACACTGGCACACAACAAAGGGAAACACATTGAATCTAGCCTCTCACTACACAGTTATCTGTTTCTGGCCCAGCTATATTAGTTAATTTATGTTGCACACTCACCACCCCTGTCAGTTTATATGTAAAGCATTTACCTTAGTGGTGGCAGAAGCTTCTATGAGCTTTCAGTATCCATGACACTGAAAATGGATGTTGCCATCATGGAATTGTTCCTGAGAGAATTACTACAGTGAGATCCTGAGCTCTCCTCTGATCTAGTCTCTGATTAGCACAAACACACACTGGATAATTGTACCCAAGAAATAAAGGAGCATTTTTGGTGGCCTTGCCTTGCCTTAACACTCAGATGGTCAACAAAGACTGAATTGTAAGGAGCGGAGATCCAACCTCCATGCTGACATTTGGAAGCTGCTCAGTGTTCGCTAGAACCCAGCACTGTTGGGGTTATTTTCCAGCCATACACTCATCTAAGCCACCTCTCTTGGGTGGTCCTGCTTCAATAAAATGCTCACTTCTTCCTCTGCTTGGAGGTCCGGCAGGGGAGAGAGGGGCCCGGGAAGCTGCCCCCCACGCCCTGCTTCTGTGCCCATTGCTCCCCATCTCTCTCAAAGGCAGACTCCCGTAGCTGGTCGAGGGGGCCCCGCCTGCCGGTGACAGCACCCTGAGGTCTGAGCCCCAGCCCCTGGCAGCCATCCAGAGCGTTCCAGCGAGAGGGAGAGCGAGGCCCAGCAAGGTGATGAACCTATGGGAGAAGACACAAAACCAGGCTTTCCTCACATGCCACCAAAATAAGATGCAGAGGAAACAGGTTCACGAAAAGCAAAACCACTGACCTTTCCGTGTGGGGGTAGGGAGTGATACTAGAGATTGAACCCAGGCCCTTTGCACTACATCTAGCTACACCCTCAGCCCTTTTTTATTTTATTTTACTTTTTATTGTGAGACAAGTTTTTGCTAAGCTGCCCAAGCTGGATTTGAACGTGTGATTCTCTTGCCTCAGCTACCCTGCTTGGCTACCACTGATTATTTAAATGGTAAATATTTAGCAATTTTAATAATGTGAAATGACATTTTAAGAGCAAAAATAATTTAAAAATTCACACAGGAAAATATGAGTGAATTTCACTTAACTCCTTAACACTAAGGAAGCAATGCGACTGAAGATTAATATACTTTAAAAAAAAAATTGATATGGACCCAGTTAACACATTTGGGAAAAGAGGTGAAAAATGTAAAAATTAACTCACAAGTGATGGATGAACTTAGAGAAAAACTCTCCTCACCAGCTTCTTTAAAGATGTAATTTAAACCAAGGTATTCACCTAGCAAATTGGTACCAGTTTTTATATGAGCCTTGATGCTGGCGAGAAGGCAACAAAGCATGTGTGGCTGTTTCTATTGGGCAGTAGGAATGAATTGTTCAGCAAAACAACATCAAATGATTCCATTGCTATGAGCCAGCAATTCTACTTCTATCGAGGATGTCCTAAGGAACAGTCCAAAATGCAAAGAAGCAGCACAGGGCAAGATTGCAAAGTGGGAGAGGTAATGCCTTCTGTGAAGGAATTAATCTTCAACATGGTCACCTGATGGTGAGGCGAAGGGATATTTCTCACTGGTCCCAAACCCTGGTGTTTGGGTGTGGTCAACTCCCCCTGGGATGCTTCCATATTTTCTTGTTTAAGGTGCATACATGGTGACCTCCCTGTGTCTTAGTGACCTCAGGCTCCTGTATACAATGCCATAGGCTGAGTGGCTTATGAACAACAGAACTTGATTTCTCACAGTTCCAGAGGCTAGAAAGCCCAAGATCAAGGCCCCGGAAGACTCAGGGTGTGGGAAGGGCCAGCTTCCTGTTCACAGCACCCTCTTACTGACCTCACATGGTGGAGTTGCCTGAGGAGATCTCTGGATCCCTTTTATAAAGGCACTGATCCCATTCATGAGGGCTCAAATCACCCCCAAGGGACCCACTTTCTAAGGTTGTTGCGGGGAGGCTAAATTTCAATGTAGGCTTTTGTGGGGGCCACAAACATTCAGACCACAAAGCCCTGCAAACAAGCAGCACTGGCTAGACATGGTTCAGTAAATAAAACAAAATGGCTAAATGCACTTGCTGAGGGGAAATTGATACATAAGAAACAGACAAGATCCTAGCTGAACACCTCAGATGTTTATACTCACAGACACATAGCGGTGAAGGTGTCCAGGGGGAACATTCCAGCAGCACATCTGGCCACACTTCCACCAGCCAAGGTGGAAGAATTTGATGCAAAGAGGGAAAGGGAAGGGGCTGAGAATGACGTGTTTCTAAATCTTAAAATACCTACCAAGAGAAAAAGAAGCTGTATCAACATCTTAGTTTCACTTTTTTTTTTGGTTCCGGGGATCGAACTCCGGTCCTTGCACTTGTGCAGCAGACGGCGAAACCACTGAGCTAAATCCCCGGCTAACTTCTTAGTTTCTAATAATGCTTTACACTTTCCCAAGTGCTTTCCTTTTGTTTCAAATAAAACTTTGATATTGAAAAGATGAGCTGGCCTTTAATATCCAGTCAGCCCTCTGTGTCCATGGATGAAACCAATCTTAGACTGAAAATATTTTTTAAAATCACATTTGAAGGGCTGGGGATTTAGCTCAGTGGTTCCGGCACCTGCCTTGCAAGCTCAAGGACCCAAGTTTGATCGCCTGTACCAAAAAAAAAAAAAAAAAAGAAAAAAAAATCACATTTGTACTGAACATGTACACTTTATTCTTGTTGCCATTCCCAAAACAATACAGTATAACAACTATTTACATAGCATTATGTACTATAATACCTAATTTAAATGCTATGTAAATAGTTAATGATTTAAAGTACACAAGAGGATGTACATAGGGTTATATGAAAATACTACCCCACTTATAAAAGGGCCTTGAGCATCCATGGCTTTAGATATCACTGGGGGAAGCCTAGGAATCCTCATTGCTTAAAGTTATCAGGAAACACTCTGAGAAGCAGGACCAGGGTACTTCCAAACTCTCAGTGAAGTGTGAGACACAGAGAGTTTCATAATCACCAATGCCAACCGTGAATAACAAGAGATGCCGCTGCTTGTTAAGTGCCTACTAGATATGAGGCACGTTCTGTTCATTATTTCTGATCTTTCAACAACCCTACAAGGAACTTCTATTTATCTTATTTTATAGACAATGAGAATTGGCCTCAGATAAGTTTATGAATTTGAGCTTGGCAGCTAAGAATATAGGTTCTGTGGTTTGGGATCCTGAATTCACCCCTTATGATGTGACCTTGGACACGTTACTTAATATCTCCATGACTCAGTTTCCCTCCACCGTGGTAAAATTGGAATAACAATCGTACCTACCTCATGGGGTTGGTGTGGAACTAAATGATGCAGTCATCGTAAAGCACATAGAACAAAGTCTGGCGTGCAGTAAGAGCTTAATAAATGTGGGCAGTTCCCTGTACTGCCTCATCCACCACTGCACCATGACTAGGCTTAGATTCAAGAGGTTGAGGTCAGTTGCTGTGGGGCCTGGGCAAGCCCCTTCACCTCTCTAGGTCTCATTTCCTCTTCCGTGCAACAAGGAAGGGAGAACTGGGTACAGTGGTCTAATGTCTCTTTCACCTCCAACTCTCACTGTTCCCATGAGTCTGTGGTCCGAGGGTTTCCAAAATGTCCAAATAGGCCGCTAAAAGATTAATACTATGTGATTCATTGTGATTCTTAATTGTAACATGTTGAGGCTGGAAACAAGGAAGAGAAAGCATCTGTGTGTCACCAGCCCTGGCCCAAAGTAAGGGTTTGATTTAGGTTTCCACCAGGTCCCCCCAGGGATGTGACAGCAAAATTCCTCATTACTCAGTTCCCTTTGCTTTTTGAAATGATGCCCCTGGAGCTGCTTCCTGTTTATATGTGGATTTCCCAAATCAACTTCTCCCCTGAAGTGAAATGTACTGAGCCACCACCACATGTCCATTCCCCTTTGAATTTCTATTTCTAGTTTTAAAGGAATCGACTCATGCTATGTTTCCCCCTCCCCTTCCCTTTTCTTTCCTTCTCTTCTCTTGCATCGAACACTCCCCAGCCTTCAGGCAATGTGCATTAGGCCTCTGGAGCCTGCTGCCTGGAAGAACTGAGTAGATCCCTCCTGAGCCTGCAGTGCTAAGGCCCAGCTCCAGCACCTGGTGAACTTAGGCTGTGTAGACCCCTGTCCTGCGAGGCCACAGCAGCCAGTACCTTTGCTGTCATCTTTTAGCTGAACAGCAGGCACTGAAAGCCACAGGGAAGTTTAACACCAATATGAAAAAGCTCTGTAGTTCATCTGCACTGATACAAGAGAAGTTTTTGGGGGGGGGGGTGGTACTGGGGATTGAACTCTGGTCCTTGCACTTGCACAGCAGGCGACGAAACCACTGAGCTAAATCCCTGGTCCAAAACAAAGTTGTTATTTTTTTTTTTTTTTTGGTACCAGGGATTGAACTTGGGACCTTGTGCTTCCAAAGCAAGCGGTGGAACCACTGAGCTAAATCTCCAGCCCCAAAAGAAGTTTTTTGTTTTGTTTTTTTAACTTTGGGCCTTATGTGCAACAAAAAGGAAGAGACAGCAGAATTGGGAATAAAATGATAACATATATGTCTGGGATCCCAGATTAAATTTCCTTCACCTTTCATTGTTTTTAAAAGTGTCTTTTGGAAACATCTGAGTCCTCCCTGCCTACAAAGCACAGACTTACTGGCGTCTTGAAAATGTATCCTGGTTGTCTTCCCAGACAGTCTAGAAGTCTAAATCTAGGAGCTGCACTTACAGGCACCGGGCTAAAGGTAAAGCGAGTCACAATGCCCCACACAGGAGCCCTGGGGCTCCCTTCTGCACAGAGAGCTGCTTGTGGAGAAAACTGAGGGGCATGGAGACCCAGGACCTTACTACCAAGGTGGACAAATCTGAAGTTGACAACTCCTTCCTAACGCAGGTTGACACTCCCTTACTCCAAAGATGCTTAGGCTGATTTCTTACAACCTGACTTTTCCAGTTCTGTCCAGCTCTACAACCACAGCCACTTTGCAGTGTAGCAGTGACTTGGGAACCTGCACACTGCTCTGGCACTCCACGAAGCCAGAAGGATGCTGACAGCTTTATGAGAACTGTGTGTGTATCTGTGCCTCTGTGTGTGCAAGTATGTGTTTCTGTGTGTGTCTGTATGTATGTGTATGCATGGTTGTAGGTATGTTTATGTGCAGGTGTATGTATATATGTGACTGGGTATATGCATGTGTATGTATCTAAGTGTGTGTGTTTCTATGTGTAAGCACATACCTACATAAACGTACATATACCTATGTGTGTGTATATATATATATGTGTATAGACTATATATACATATATATATGTGCTGTCCTTTACCTACTCAGTGTTCTAAAGCGAGAGTGAAAGGAAACTTCTGTGAAACCCACCCACCAGCTCCTGCCCCTCCCTTCCCTCTGTCCACATCTTCTGTTCCTGCATCTTCAGGGGCCTTAGAGGTATAAGTGTGAACAATCTCAGCCCCACCTCCTACCTCACCTCTACCCCAGTCACTCCTTAGTGTACCTGGGCAGGGAACCCTGAGGTCCTCCATGTTCAGACTGTGGACCAAAAGAGAAGGAGCAGGCTGTGGACAGGTACGTCCTCTTGGTGCTGCAGACATCGACCCATGGGGACAACCCAGCCAGAGGAGCCCCTTTCTAAAGGATGCAGCCAGTCAGGGAGCTCCCTGCCTTGGTCCAAGTGTGGCGCTGTGGGTGCCACTCCCTGCTTCCTCCAAAGCGTGCACCATGCCTCATGTTGACCATGTGATCCCACAGAGCCTAAGGGCCTGGGAAGGAAGAGAATGTATAGTCCAGAACTGAAGCCAAGGTCTCCAAAGCAACTTACTAGGGACTTTACAGAGACTCAGCAAATCACTGTCCTCCACAGAGGCAGCCCCGGGGCTGGCCACCTGACCCAGACTCTCAGGATGAGGCTGCCATGATGCTATGGGTTTTCTAGGCCTGCTCAGCCTCGCCCAATAGCTGAGTCAATCAGTATCTGCAGGGCTCCAGAGATGGATGGTCCCGGCAGCGCTGCAGACAGACACCACACCCCAGCTCTAAACTCTTCCATACTTGACAAAATCAATCTGAAGCCCATGCCTGTTCGATCAGTATGTGTCTACACCGCACTAGGTTCCAAGTCTATACAGGGAAATAAGAAGCCTTTATTAGAAACCTTTAGCTGGGGGTGTAGTTCAGTGACACTGTGTCCACCTGACAAGCACAAGGTCCTGAGTACTGAAAAAAGATTTTTTAAACACCTTTATTTGATCTGCTTCCCCCAACTCCTTGCCCTACCCACACTACGCTCCCCTAAAACAAGGTGCTCAAACCTCTCAGTAAAGTTCCCACACCCACCATACCTCTCCTCCCCTACCCTCCCACCCCTTCAAATTATACAAAGTGTGATCAAACAATACAGTGCCACATCTGTAATCCCTTTTTTAAAATTCAAACATTCATTGTACATTTTGTTCACCCATTGAACACTCCTCTCTAGTGCTCAGTCTAAGGTCGAACATTTATTTCCTGATAGTTTCTCCTAGTAACTCGGGTTCACATACTTTCCCTGCTACATTGTAGGTTTCCCCTAAACGAGTAATCCCCAATTGTTTTGGGCCTCCCAGCATACATGTGTCATGTCTAATACAAAGGCCTGATATGAAATTGCTCAGTAAATACTGTCTGAATTAAACTGAGAATAGAAGGCGATGTTCTGTGAAATGTTTTGGGTTCCTTTTGAATCCTTAGCAAGAGAGGCACTTCTGTGAATAATTCAAGGAGTTGCTATAAAATACTTCCAGGTTTTCAAGCAGCATGAGGGAATCCATAAGAGAGAGCTATGGGGAAAACCATCCTTGGCAATGTCAGTACCATTGTTCCACTAGTGGGCTGATAATTCTGATTATAATAGGTGAAGCAAGGTGAATTTAGCCCAATAGACAGTAAGCAAGAGGACAGTATAAAGCTTATTATAAAGGACTGTTAAACATCGACTCTTCAAGCAGCTCAGAATTCAATGCTTTTGGTTACTGCAAAATGAAACAATGTGATCATCATAAAATGTACCTGGGAAATGAATATAATAAGTGATATTGAAATGCATGGATCTAAATTTTTATAGGCTCAAGTTGGATTTTATAATCATCATATCAAAGGTTGATCTAAACTTTCCATACTCTGGAATTACACATTTTTATTCTAAGAGACGAGAATAAAGTCTGCTGTGAGTCCCCTGTATAACATCCTGCGACGACCCCTGTGTAGTGCTTTGCCCTAGCCTCGGGCCACAGGCAGACCATTCCATCTGCCCGGGTTCTCTCCCCCTCCAACACACAATCTTCTGTTGCCCTGTTATGGATGCTCCAGCTCTGGCAAGGTCACCTGGCACTGCTGAGCTGGTCATTCTCACATCTGTAGAGGAAACACTGGCAACTCTATCAAAAAGCTTTAAGAAATAGCTTATAAATCCCTTCCAGATGGGGACCTTTTCCCCTGGGAAAAGAGGCTCTCATTTCACCGCTGTGTCTATGCTGGAGCTAGAGAAATGTCTTGGCCTCAGACTTAATTCCACCAATACAGCCCCTGTCAGCTCCCCTCACTCTAACCAGAGCCCTCCCCCTTTTCAGTTCCTTTGTCCCAGTGCAACTTTCTCAAAATATCTATTTACTGATAGCAATTATTTCTAATATGGCATTTTATTCTAATGGCAACTCTGGCAAGTGAGGTTAGCAACAGCCAGGAAAATGAAGGTGACTGATAAATCTCTTAAATGAGAAAGCCTACTCATGAGCCTTAGGGAGTCCCTTATTCACTGGAAATGCTAATTTTATAATAATTACAAATATATCTTTGTTTCAAGGATATTTATGGTTTAACCAACAAAAACTGGAATTTGAATTTGATTCATAGCAATTTTTTTTTTCTTTCAGTGCTGGAGATGGAATCCAGGGCCTCACACATGTTAGGCAAGCACTCTACTACCAACTTGCACCCCCAGCTCTTGTTTGGCTTTTCTGTTTTAACAGTCAGAAAATACTCAGCTAGATGGATAATGTACCCAGAGCTATAAGGACCATCCCATAGTCAAGGCAATTTAAGATTACCATAAACTAGAGCAGTATCAACACCTTAAAAGAGAATAAATGTAAAAGACACTGGCAGCAGAAAGTTTTGGCTTTAAGGTTCTTGTGTGGAATATTTTGAAAGACTTAGAGGAAATCAAATCCATTTCTATGTGGACTAAAATATATTCCTTCTACATGGCTAAGGTTAGAAGTGATTATACAGTTAGAGCCAGCTGAGCTTCAGAGCCACCCATACTTCACAGAAGAGGCTGAAGCTTGGGGAGATTAAGTGATTTGCCCAAGCTCACACAGCTGGGAAGTGACAACCACGACTGAATGTGAGGCTCTTAGCACTAATCCGTGACAACACATTGGCCTAGACAGTCCTACTTCAGAATGGCCTCTGGGTCCAGCCAGTGCCAAACACATGGGCCGGGGCAGAGAACATGCACAACATGGAAACTGGACATCACCCACCTCCGGTCTCCAGGCTAACCAGGCAGCTGTGGGTGAGGGAAGACTGTTCAACTTTACATCTTAATTACATAAAGATTCAGCTCCTATCTCCTCATTATGGTCTTTCTCTTCCCTTCCTACCTACTCAGTTGCTATGCCAATTGAACCTCTGTTCCCAAGCCCCCCAGGATTCCATTATTCTCAGGTTAGTGGACTGATGAGGATGAAAATTTGGTTCAATCCTGAAAGAACTGCCTTTGTTGGCTGTAAGGAGTTGGGGTTTTTCAAACTTTATACCGAGGAAATGGTTTCACTGTGTATTCCTTTGTACCTACCCAGCTGAGACATCATAGTCACATCCTCTTCGGTACAAGAATCAGGGATACATACGCCCACACTGTAATCAGCTCCATCCTGGGAAACACAATGCCACAGTGCTTTTTAATTTTAGTGTTCATAGCACATATGCATAATCATTTCTAAGTAAGTCTGCTGCTGTGCTACTCATACATTAAGCAGATTGAGAGAGGGAATGGTGTTGAAAGAAGAAAAAGTTTCTAACTTCCTAAGACATGGCTTTTCCATTACAGGGTGAATTTCAAGACATTAGATACACTTATATTTAAATTAAAATATGCCCCCAGGTTCAATGTAGCTGATTAAGAAGCAGTGACTGGTTTTGTGTAATCTGTCCCACTGAATCTCTGTTCCAGATGAGAGGTCATTAACAGATGATTCCACTATGATTTTTACCAATTGCCAAGTTGTCATTTCTGGATAGCAGGCTACGATGTATCGAGTAAAGATTTTATTAATAAATCAAGCCAATAATTAGAATGTCTGTCTCAATAAACAGAAGATCAAATTGTAAATAAAATTTCTGGGCTATTTCTTATAAATTCATAACTTACATGATTGTGTAAACCTGACCTTTTGCTCTGATATCAAAACCATTAATCTGCTTTGAAAGTGATATTAGTATACACTGATTAAACCCTCAAGCAATCAGTATCCCAATCCTCAATAAAACAAAGGAGGCTGAGCGATAATCTCCCTGCGTCCATGGTTTACCATCGTAAGCGTTTTTAGCATTAATTCACAAAGCTTGCATTTCTTATTTCAGACAATAGTTTTTAGCCAACTAGTAATGTAATTTCCTTTTACTATTGTGTTATAAACATAAAATTTATCCTATATTTAATAAGAGACTGTGCTATTCCTGTGGTTTCTTTCTCCCCTGAGCAGTAAAAGGATTAACGTGCTTTGAAGATAGTGAGCTCGAAACATAGGTCAACTGATTTAGGAATGGATTTATAAAGTCATGGTCCAACTGCTAGAATAATCCCAAATTTGTGTTTAGGGCTCTGTTTCTTGGAAAAGGTTAGTGGGAAGTCCATCCTCCATCTGGTATTCCAAAAATTGATGGGAAGTCAGGAGCTGGTGCTCAGGAACTGTGTTCAAAGCTCCTTCCCTTGATCAGCATGGTACCGACCAATGATGAGGCTCCTGATGGCAAGGATACAGAGTAGGGATTTGTTAGGAAGCATGGTGAGAGCCCTCAATACCCCAAGAACAAGAGAGTCCTTGCTGGATCCCATCAGTGACTGTGCCTGGAGGGAGCTGCCAACCAAACCAATGAACACGCACAGGATTCTTGCTAGTGAAGGTGCTAGCCAGGACTTGAAGTTGGGTTCCCCATAAAGGTCATCCAGAAGTCTTGCCCCATACTGTGTGTTTTGTGGACAAGTCCCTCATATAACATCCAGCACTCAGAATAGGCTAAGCCAGTTTCTACCAACTATTAAAATTTAGCTTTATCTTTTTGCAAAACATTGTAATATTTTTTGTGTTCTTAACTACAAAAAGCAATTGTATTGTGGAGTTGTAATGAGTCCCATATCATGACATTCACTTGTTCTTCAAAAGCAATTGCACAGGACCCCCATGCTCACCTGAAGTATATGAAGCTTGCAATACTGCCCTCGGAAGCTTCTAGTGGGGCTGTGGGCGGAGAGGCACTCGCTGTAAGATCCCAGCCTGTCCAGGTTGCCATTAAGAATGTTGCTCCCAAGCTTCCCCACAGAGTCATACACTGAATTTCAAAGGAAAAGAAGCTTGCAAAATTAGCTTCCTGTATCACTTTCAAATAAAGTTACAGGAACTTGGCTCTACCTTCCAACCCTATAAGCTTAGATAATTGAAAAAAGAAGAGAGACAGATTTATTCAGATGCCACTCTTTGGCATCTCACTCATCACCAGGAGAGAACAATGAGGTACACACTGTTACACGATCTGTTAGCAGTTGCTGAAAAAGATGAAGAGTTGGTATTTTATTTATTAAAAATAAATGCTTTCTGGGGAGTGAGAAGATGTAACTAAACTTTGTTAGCTTTTTATTTTCTCTCCTTGTACAAAACCCATAATTTATCCAGTTTTGTGGGACCTTACTTTGTAGAAAGTTAATTTTTTTTAACTTTAGGAGAAGAAAAAGTGATCAAGCCACAGTTAGTGGCATTCTCAACCCCATCCTACAAAGTCCCTCTTTGTTTGTTTGTGCTTATTTATGTCTTTCTTTTCTTTGTTTTAAAATTCATTTTCTTTCCTATTTCTTCATCTCTTCCTATCCCTTCATCAGATTCCCCCCAATCTTACAGGTTTGATGTATATCCTCTTGTTTGTGGATGTGTATAGGTTGTGTGAATACTTTTTTGTTTCTTATCTCTTGTTTCTACATCTATCACTGAGGGCTACATTCTTACTATATCATGATGTTACTGTGCACATCTAGTCCGGGCCTTCTAACTGCTATATAATAATCCATCACTAACTTTGATCTAGCTATTCCCCAGGTGATGGACACATATTGTAGATGCCCTCGATCTATGCAAACACATGGTGATAAATTTCTTATACTTGGCCCTTCCCAGAGCAATGTAATATTGAGCTCAGCTATATGAGTGGAACCACAGGATCAGAAGACACACACGTACTTAGTCTTTGTGAACCCTGCCAGAATACTGGCCAGAGTCACTGCCCAGTCTACATTCCTCAGAGATGCTGGGTGATTGTTTTTTCTTTATACTGCTCAGCTTTCTTTTATGTGGCAGCTAATGGATATAAAATGGTATCTAACTATTGGCTTGCTTACCATTTGTCTAATTACAAATGAGTCTGGATATTTTCATTAGCTGTTTAGATTTTTCTTTTCAGAACCTATTTGCATCCTTTGCCCAGTTTTTATGGATTTTTTCTTTTTCATTTCCAAGAACTGCTTATGATTCTGTATGTTGATCCTGGACTATCTGAATCATTAAAAATATCTACTCTAAGTTATCTGTCAGTTAACTTTAGCTATAATGTTCTCCAGTGAACAGAAATTCATATTTTTGGTATAATAAAATCTGTCAATATTTTGCTTATTGTCTATGTTATTGGTCCTTTGTTAAGAAATTCTTCCCCATCTGTAGGACAGTAAGAGACTTTTCTAATATTATTTCCTACTATCTTTATATTTTTGTCTCTCATACTTAGGTCTTTAATTCATCTGCATCACTTTTTTGAGGGGGGGGTACTGGAATCAAACTCAGGACCTTGTGCTTTTGAGGCAGGCATGGCACCACTAAGCTAAATCCCCAGCCCTGCAAATCTTCCTTTCCATCCTTATGATTTTTCATTTTTGCCTTGATAAACTTAAAACAGATTACATAACACAATTAATTCCTGGAGTGTATACTTGGTTATTTTCCTTGGTGTTTTATTTTCAATTACATCTTCTAACTGATTTGTTGATAAGGTTTTTTGCAATTGATTTTTATAACTTCTTCTAGAATCTGGTAAATTTGCTAAATTTCCTGATTAGTTCTGCAGTTTTATTTTCTCCTCCCTAATCTTTATATCACTATTTTTTCCTTTTCTAGTTTTATTTTTTGTTTTTTGTTTATTTTTTGTTTTTTGAGACAGGGTCTCACTATGTGTCCCAGACTGGCCTCAAACTTGAGGCAATCTTCCTCCTCATACTTTTTAATCCCTGAGTTCTGGGATTACAAAAGTGTGCCACCATGCCCATTTCTAGTTTTGGAATCAAAGTAATAATCAATTTTATAAAATGAGTTTGGGCAAGTTTCACACTTTTATTTTGTGGGAAAATGTAATTATTACTGATTGCCAGGGGTTAGTGACAGTGGGGGGTAGAAAGTATGTGGCTATAAAGATTTAACACGACTTTTGTGGTAATAGAATTGTTTCTTTTTCTTTCTTTCTTTCTTTCTTTTTTTTTTTTTTGCAGTACTGGGTATTAAACTCAGGGCCTTCACACTGAACTACATCCCTACCCCCTTTTTTGGTATTGGGGATTCCCTTTTTATTTGAGACAGGGTCTGGCTAAGTTGCCCTGGCTACACTTAAACTTGTGATCCTCCTGGCTCAACCTCCTAAGTGCTGAGGTTAAAGGCATGCACTGCCACATCTGGCATAGTTCCATATCTCTATTGGCACTGGCTTACACAAATATACACATACAGGCTATAATAACATAGAACTCTAGATACAGATTACAATGTCAGTTTCCAAATATTGTACTATAATTATGTTAGACACGATTGAGGAAAAGTAGATGAAGATACACAGAACCCCTCTTGTTGTGTGTTGTCATAGATTCTGTATTTGTCTAGTTGCCATCCATGCATCACAGAATCAGTTGTATTAACAATATTTTCTTATTTTCTGTATTTTTGTCCCCTGACATACCTTGTTGTCTGGGGAGAGACTCAGCCAGGCAATTTTTACAAATGGCATAGTCTCACCCCAGGAGCTTTCCTTTGATATGTAAACAAATCAATCCAAACCCCACAGTCCCAACCATGTCCTGATTAAACTCTCATGCACCACACCAATGTTCCTCAGCTCTACATCGTGCCAGGGCCAGTTGCCAGGCAACTAGAAGCCACCCTTGCTACCCAGAGCCCACTAGCATTACCCAAATTAGCCAGCTCTAAGCTGTTTACCCTCGCTGTTCTGTCTTCTCCACAGAAACCTCAATACGGTGAGCAGCCCAAGCTTTTCCCTTGATCCTCCTGCCTCTTGCCTAGCCCTGCAGGTCCCTAAGTGGCCCTGTGTGGCATGGCTTGTCCCCTCCTCACAGGAAATGGAAGTGATAAAAATTTCCTTTCTTGTTTTTGTTGTTGTTGTTTTGTTTTGTGTTTCACTGAGACAGGGTCTCACTCTGTAGTTCTGACTGGCCTTGAACTCACTATAGCCCAGGCTGGCTTCAAACTTGCAGTAATCCTCCTGCCTCAGCCTCCTGAGTGCTGGGAAGAGAGGTGTGCACCACCATGCCTAGCTCAAAAATCTTTCAATGGCATCTGCCTCTCCATGTGCTCAGTTACCTCCATAAATTAAACTCCCTTGAAGACAAGTGATATACCTCCAAATTATTTTTGCATCTGCCTGCAAATCAGTAATTATTTTAAAGTTTTATAAAAATAAAGTGAGCTGGGAAGATTTCACGCTTTTGAAGTTTCCTGGAATAACTGGTATTATTCTAGATTACAAGGGAGTAGAACTCAACTGTTCCAACTACTGGTTTGTACTTTACTGAGAAAGAGGAAGGTCTTTAATTACTATTTAAGTTTATACTTAATAATCTTCCATTTTTCTATTTCTTTTTTAACACATTTTAAAAATATTTTTTCAAAAATGTATCCCTTGGGCTGGGGATTTAGCTCAGTGGTTTCGCCACCTGCTGCGTAAGCACAAGGACCAGAGTTCGATCCCCGTTACCAAAAAACGAAAAACAAAAACATATCCCTTTTGTTTTGGTTTCCAAAGCCAAGATGTCTTAGTTACTTTTTCTCATTGCTGAGACAAAATACCCAACACCCAAAGTTAAGTTAAAGGAGGATAGGTTATTTGGCTCACAGTTTGCAGTGGTTTTAGTTCATAGTCAGCTAGCTTCAAGGCAGGGTGGCATGGCAGAGGGGCATCACAGAGGATAAATAGTCCATGGCACAGCAGGAAAGGCAGAAGGCAGTAGGAAACAAGGAAACAAACATACCAGCTTCTTTCTGTACCTTTTACATTCTGTCTAGGCTACCCACCCAGTGGGTAGTATTCACTCAGAACTATGCCAAAGCGATCAGTGGATTAATTTAGTAAACACACACCCTTAATTCCAGCATCAAACTCCAGATCCAGCTACCTTGGAAAAGCCCCACCTAGGACCACATGAGCCTTTGTGGGGACATCTAGACATAAACCATAACACAAGACTTTGCTGTACCTATACGTACGTCTAGTTTTTACTTTTTGTGTCTTTTCTCGTTTATCTGCCTTCAGTCTTGCCTGAGGTCTCTCCAACAACAACTTTCAGTTTTTCTTATCTTGGTTTTCTTTAACTTTTTCTTTTCTTTTCTTTTTTAATGCTTTCCATCCTGTTTTATTATGTCCTTACTGTTTCCTTGACATTTATCTGTTTCTCTTTTTAAATTCATTGATTTGAGCACTACCACAAGTGTTTTCAATCTTTCTTGCATCCTGTCACATATTTGAACACCATCAATTCTAAGTCCTGCTTTACCTGCATCTCTTATGTTTTCATTGTCATTCAGTTCTAACTCCGTGTATGTTTACTTTTACTTTTCCAGTATCATCTTTTGAACACAAAGGTTGTATGGTTAATGTGATACTCAGCTTCCATATATATGTATAGGATTCTGCTTTTAGCTTTCCTTGTCATTTTGAAGTCTGGTGTTCATCTGATTACCTCTCTCTGGGTGGAGGGGGAGGTTTAGAATTTCCTCATTGCATTTAATGTTCTTATTTTCAGTCTGTCCTGATAGGTACAAATTCGGGTGTAAATTTTCTTTATTTGACTTAGCATTCTGTAAATGCTTTCAATCTGACATCTTTTGTCCTCCTTTAATTCTGGAGAAAGAATGGTCATTATTTGTTCAAATAGATTCGTCCTTTTGTTTGCTTTGTTATATTTTTCCTTCTGGTTCCTATTATCCAACCATGGCACTTTAGTCTATATCTCTAGTGTTTGTTTTCAACTGTCTCTTTATTCTTCCCTACTATATCTGAGAACATGCTCA